CCTTGACAGATTAAAAAGCATGTCCTATAGATGAGCTGACTGGAGGCAAGGGAGGAAGGGAGGTGAGTGCCTTGGGACATCAAATGGCTGTCACCAGCAGAAAGTGCTAGAGTTTGGGAAGGGTAGATATTGAAATGTCATGTGTTCAAGAGTACAATTCAGGGAAGAAGAAACAGAATCACATCAAGCTGATAGTAAAATAAGTGGGTATTTTGATCCGTATGCTTTCATCATTTCCAAAAATCATACCTTAGAGTAAAATCAGCGTCTTAAAGGAATCCAGTACACCAATACACTTTTTTTTCAAAAGACTTTAAATGTGCAGTATATTTAGAAGGAGCAAAAATGTGGTCATTTTGGCTTTTAAAGAGGTAATAACCATCAGCTATATAAAATGTCACTTAAACAAAGCATCATGGCTGATATGCAACTTGCTTGGCAGGGTGCATGCACAAAGTCCTAGGTTCAGCCACCAGCACCTCATGAACAGCTTGGTGAGGCACTCTTGTAACACCCATGTTCAGAAGGTGGAGGGATCACTGTCATCCTCAAAGGCAACCTGTGTACCTGAATCAAACACAGTGAGAAGGTACAAAGAAAATTGTGGTTTCGGCTGAGGCCCAAAGAAAACTGAAATCTGGTCACCTTTATTGGGTCAATGGGCTCAATTTCCCATTAAAAAAAAAGTTTAAGGCCAGCGTGAACTATATAGTGAGTCGTGGGCCACCCACTTATAGATACACAGCAAGACCATGATGCAAAAAAACAACAAAGAACATAGTATTTTAATACCTCTTTTAAAGTATTAGGTTATACTTCATTCTTACCTCAACCTTAAAAACTTGCATTCTTTAATATTGCTAAAAATCAAACAAAACAGAGTTACAGTTCCTGCTTTGACCTAAGAAGTCAATGACGCCTATTATTTTCAACTTAGTTCAGACAGTCACATCCTCTTGGTCCAGGGACAGCAGAGAAACAAATTATTTTCCAGTGGTTCATTTGGCTTTTTAAAGAAGCCATAAAAGTTAAGAATATCTGTGTGTGATCATACCGTGGGGGTGGAGGTGGCAGCAGGAATCTACAATCCAATCCCATGATCCTATAACTAATTACAGAAATTCCAAATTTAAGGAAGCAAAATCTGGTTGCTTTTGAGTGGTCAGGGGGTTCTATTTCTCACTTAAATGTAAAACCATGTAAACAAATTCCCTGCCACCACCAAGCCACCAAAACAAGTTGTCATTTTTTCCAATGTTGAATTCTTCACTCAGTGGAAACAATAGGTTCTTCCTGGCTACGGATAATCAATCCCCCCACCGTGTGTGTGTGTGTGTGTGTGTGTGTGTGTGTATCTTTCCTGCATGATGCTCTGGACCACGGCTTCATTGCTCAGAAATTCAAAGTGGGAATTATAACATATGATAAGACCTATAAGGACAAAGCGGAGAGAGAGAGAGACTTTTATCAGCTTCGATTTCTACCATTATCTCCAACATTTAAACAATCTAGACATTATTTTTTAATATAGATAAAATAATAGATAAAACTTCTGAGTAAAAATGTGTGACCTCCTAAGTCAAGACTCCAGCTACCACCTCAGAGTTTCTGTGGTGGTTTGAATAGGAATGGCCCCATAGACTCATGTGTTTGAATGCATGGCTCATGGGGAATGGCACTATTAGGAGGTGTGGCCTTGTTGGAGGAAGTGTGTCACTGTGCGGGCAGGCTTTGAGGTCTTCTGTGCTGAAGCTATGCCCAGTGTGGCACAGTCTCCATCTGCTGCCTGTGGATTAAGATGTAGAATTCTCAGCTCCTTCTCTAGTATCATGTCTGCCTTGAAGCTACAATGTTTCCCACCATGATAATGGACTAAACCTCTGAAACTATAAGTCAACCCCAATGAAATGTTTTCTTTTATAAGAGTTGGCTTGATTATGGTGTCTTGTCACAGCAATAAAATCCTAACTAAGACAGTTCTCAAACTAACTGATAATAAAAATTATCTTGTAGACTGGTGACATGGCTCAGTGGGTAAAGGCTACTGAGGGTTATTAACTCAGATCTCAATTCCATATGCCTTTCCCATGTCTGCCAACTGAAAGTCATCTGCAACAGTGAGCCAGGATAAATCCTCCCTCCTCTAAGTTGTCTTTATGGGCATTTTTGGTCATAATGACACAAGAGTAACTGAAACAGGGCACCAAAATAATCATGTTTTATTCCCCTACCCTGTGTTCAATAATTTATGAGATTTCCCATTAAAGCAGCTCCCATGTATATAAGATAGGGAAAGGGCCTTTGAAAGCACTAGCATAATTGAGAGCATTAAACACTAAGTAAGATATATAAAAGGAGGAATTTTTGAAAAAGGCTTCAAGTGTCAGTTTAGCTGATATCCCAAATCTAGACATTAGTTTTGAATATATATTTGCAACTAAGTAATTGATGTGCATTTAAAAATATTCTATCTGTTGTCTTTTTTCTCTTAACATATGATTCCATCCAAGTTAAATATAGTACTATACAAACAATGCTTGTGACTTACACCAGGGGAAGAAATAAAAAACAGAAAATTGAAACTTTTTTTGAAAGGATGCTGAATGGTCAAAAATCAAGGAAGTCATTTCCACCTGAAAGAGACGGAGTTTGTCTCTGTCTGCTCTTTTCCAGATATCTTCTTCTGTCCAGGCTCCATCCGGTGTCTACAGTGTCACTGTTCAGGGGATGTGAAGAGTCACGTCCTTGCCCCACCCCACTCCAGCAGGACACGCCAATGACTGCAAGGCTCCCAGCTCACATAACATTTCCATTTCAGTAGTACTTCGATGACTTTAACCTTTCCTCTCTTTTGTGTTTTTCAAGCACATCCTATAATTCCAATCAGGAATCTCCTCAGCAGGTTTCAAAGAGTTCAATCCATCATGATGGGGAAGGCATAGCAGAACAGTCTACTACATGGTAGGCAAGAAGCAGATAGCCTGGGAACCATCTTCCAAGGAATGGTATGAGCCTGGCCTTTTCTTAGATTTCCTCTTATACACTTGGGAATCTGAAGACCTGCTGAGATGAATGCTACTGTTGTATACACAGTTTCTATCCATTTATCCCACGTTTCTACCTTCTCGACATAATCCTAACCTCATGTACCATAATAAGAAGATGTGTGTCCTTCAGGAAAGGACAGTTCCCTCCTCAGTGCTGCAGTATGAATCTTAATTGACATAATCCTAGCACGGAGGCTGTCCCTACACTGACTGCCTAAGCATACAGCAGATTTAGCTAATGAGACACAAGGAGAAAATCTGCTTGGCAAGAGGGTTCCCTTAGTCTTAAAACAGAGAAGAAGGCAGTGGACCTGAGAGTACCATTCCTGTGCCAGAAAAGAAAACCAGACTAGAGAAAACCCAACAGACCTAAAGCAGGCAGATATCCTGAGCCTAAGTTCATCAACCTGGGGAATGGCTTTCAGCATATAGCTATCTAGGCCAAAGGCAGAGGGGACTTAAACAGAAGGACATTTAGTAAAGATCCACTACAGCAACTTTCCTTTCCTTACCTTTAAGCTGTTCCATTCCTAAAAAATAGCTTCTCAATATAAGAATATACAATAGGTTTGATGCAATAATAACGGCCAAATATTCCTCTTACCCTCAAGCTGCTGCTCCAGGTCAAAGAAGTCTTGTACCCCTTTTCATGAACCTAGCTGTCATCACACATAATACAGCAGAAGTGAAATGCTGGTTCCAGATCTAGGTTTTTCTCTTTCTACTTCACTCTTGTAAAAGCCAGCTACCATGTAAGAATATTCAGGCTGACTATCTAGATGATGGATGAGAGGCTAAATACATGGTGAGGTTCCTGGATGGAGAACAGCAGATTGCTCTAGTAGAAAGGAAGCACCAAGTCCAGGAGCATAAGATAAGCCACTTAGACCGTCCAGTCCTGGTTGAAGCACTGGAGCTGACATCATAAAGCAAGGCCTGTCAATCTCTGCCAAACAGTCCTTAAATTCCTCACCATGGAATTGTAAACAATAAAACATTTGCTGTATATCTATGTCTTTAGAGTTGTATGTTACCCAACAATAGACAACAAATATAAAGTAGTATTGGTTGGACACAAAGGGGATAAGTAGTTGAATCTGGAGACAAACATGAGTGGTTGTGGTCAGGTAGCAGATGGTTAGGCTACCTCAAATTAGAAGTTACAATATGAAAGCAGTTTTCCATAAAGTTTTTATAGTAACAGAACAAAGAAAGTCATAAAAATCAAGACACTTTACAAATATATTGGTAAAGATATCAGAGGTGGGTTGTAACCGAGAGGAGAAATCTTAGCTACAGGCTTTGGACACTATTTGATAACACTTAGCTTTGGGGTGAGTGAAAGCTAGTGGTCTCCTAAGACATGTCAATGGAAAACTAGTGGTCTGTACATTCCAAGTGATTGACCTAATGGCCACAAAACTACCAGGTCATATCCACAGGAGTGTAACAAGAGGGCTAAAGATGGCTCAAGATAACTTGGCTCTGGACCTGCAAAATCCCAAACTCTCCAAATTATTGAAGTTCTAATCAGTCAGCCTTGCAAAGGTTAATTCGAAGATGTAGCTTCTTTCTTGGAAGTTTTGCTCACCCTCATCTATTTGGTATTTTAAAATTCCTATTATTTCGCAATTCCTATGATTATTGACAGTTCTAGAGGCTAGTGGACATTGTTTTCAAGGCTAACAAAAGAGTATTTAGTTGTTTCTGTTATTTGCCCACAGGTTTTCTTTAATCAGAGCCCACGAAAAACAGCTGTTAAGACAGGAAAATCTGATTATAGAACTGGAAAATTGGGTGAGTGAAAAGGGAGAGACACTACAAAGAAGCACAGCCAGTGGCCAGCCCGCGGGGTGGGGTGGGGCAAGACATTCGTGTGCGCGCGAGCGGGAGGGGCGGGACAGACGGAAGTTCGGGCGCAGGCGAGCGGAAGGGGCGGGGATGTGCCGCAGGTCTTTGTGGCTAAGGTCCGCTGCCCCGGCTGCTCCTGCTCTGTAGCTGGGGCTCCGTTCGGCGGGAAGGTGTGTGGCAGATCCTGAAGAGACCCCCCTCAGCCGCCGCTTTCGGCTGGACAGCCCTGTGGTGCCCCCTCGGGCACGCGCCTACGCCGCGCTTTAACCCGGAAGCTAAAAATAGGGTGCGTGCGGCGAGTGCTGAGGAAGACAGGTGTGGAGCGGGTGTCTTGTTAGCCGGTCCGCGTAGCTGTGGTGTCGGCGCTTGGGGTCCTTCCCCACCGGACTGAGGTAGAGCGAGGGAGCGGGCCCTGCGGCTGAGGAGCGCAGAGCGGGTCGGCGTCTGGGTGAGAGCCGTGTGAACGCCGCGCCAGGCAGTACGGGGTCAGGAGTTGCAGCATTGCGAGGATGCAGGCTTAGTTCTTGTGACCCGCGCCCGACGCTTGTAGGGCAAGCAAGGCAGACTGACTTTAGGCTACTTGACAGGGGTCAGGTTTCTCTGATAGGGGAGTGGGGCTGGGTTAGTGTGTAAACTGGGAGACTCTCTTGCCCTGGCCGGTGGTGGAGAGGGCTCTCATTCCGCTCAGCCTTGTGAGCTTCAGGCCGGGTTTTAACATAAATTGAAGGTGCATACAAGTCTCTGTATACATTAGGTCGTGTAGTTCTTTATCTCCAAATCTAGTAAATGATTACTACCATATTTCGTTTGAATTTAGAATACTCAAGCTTGCGGGGCGGTGGTGGCACACGCCTTTAATCCCAGCACTTGGGAGGCAGAGGCAGGCGGATCTCTGAGTTCGAGGCCAGCCTGGTCTACAGAGTGAGTTCCAGGACAACCAGGGCTACACAGAGAAACCCTGTCTCGAAAAAACAAAAAACAAACAAACAAAAAAAAAACCCTCAAGCTTTTGAGAGCTGAAGTTGACTTTTTGTGTCCATAGTAGCATGTTTTTAATCCAAGCTAAGCATTTTACAGTTACAGAATCCCTCACTAAATTCATTCATAAGCCAATCCTTTTCTTAATACTGGCTCAGAACAAAGCCCACACAAAGTAAGGGCCTCCATGTTTGTTGAAAATTTCAGTATATGAATGGGACCAAATGGCAAATACACAATATTTTAGACAAATTTATGTTCAGTGTGGATTTTAAAATGTTACTACCTTAAAGGCAGGCCAGCAGTACATGCTATAAACAGTAGCTACAGAAAAAAATTTAAAGCTAGCATTAGATTCTGCTGAAAGCTGGGTTTGGTACTGCATGCCTTTAGTGGAAAAACTGCAGGGGCAGGAAAGCTTTTAGTTCAAGATCAGCCTCGTCTACATAGCAAGTTCCTGGACTACATAGAGACCCTGTCTTAAACAGGAAAAATCTGCAGACTGTATTTTATTAAAATCTTCTGTTTGGGGATGCAGCTCTGTGGTAGAATGCTTGTCTAGCATAGTGAGGAACCTGAGTTCACTGTCAGGGGGGGCAAGGATGTAACTTACTAGCACAGTGAAAGTGTTTGCCTACCATTCCTAAGGCCCTGAGTTCATTACCAGCACTAAGAAAATTTCTGGTTTATAGTCATGAATTTAATCAGGACTGAAAGATAATGGAAAAGAAAATGTCACTGTGTAATCATGTTAATATTGCATTCTTACACTTCTAAAAGTTTTTCTGTCAATGGTAAGAGTTCTACACAGTAGAAGACTTGTAGAAGATTGTTAATGCTTCATCAGTATACTTAGTCTTGAACCTGTTTACTTTCAATGTTACAAGTTTTTGGAGTTTTTTTTTCTATGCTGTAAGTTAAAATGCTTTCATGTATTATAGGAAAGAAGAGGTTACTTAGGAAACTCCTCCCCAAGCACAAAACCCAACTGTACTAAGCTTTTTGTAAGCTATTTCAGCCCAGAATGACTATGGAATCCAGAGCAATTTCAACTTTAAAACCTCAGGATAATCAAGAAGAGTTAATACTAGTGAAAATAGAAGATAGTAGCTTTTCTTGGAGTCAGAAATGTAAACAGAATGGGAGTGCCCAGTCTTGCCAAGAACTATTTCGTCAGCAATTCAGGAAGTTTTGCTATCATGAAACACCTGGGCCCCGCGAGGCTCTGGGACGACTCCAGGAACTCTGCCATCAGTGGCTAATGCCAGAATTGCACACGAAGGAGCAGATCCTAGAACTGCTAGTGCTGGAGCAGTTCCTGAGCATCCTACCTGAAGAGCTGAGACTATGGGTTCAACAGCATGCTCCAAAAAGTGGTGAGGAAGCGGTGATTTTGCTGGAGGATTTGGAGAAAGAGTTTGATGATCCAGGGCAGCAGGTAGGAACAGAGAGATGATGTGTTTTGGGGGGGAAATTGCAGCCCTCGTTGTAGTATCTTGTCTGGTTAGAATGTTGTCTGAGGAGCCCTGACCTGGATGTCACAGTAGCACATACTTACCTCCTCTACCCTTTTTCTCCCTTCCTTCGTCTGTGCCAGTGGCCTGATTAACCATGTAAGATTCTTTTTTTTTTCTTTTTTCTTTTTTAAGATTTATTTATTTTATGTAAATGAGTTACACTGTAGCTGTCTTCACACACACCAGAAGAGGGCATCGGATCCCATTACAGATGGTTGTGAGCCACCATGTGGTTGTTGGGAACTGAACTCAGGTCCTCTGAAAGAGCAGTCAGTGCTCTTAACCACTGAGCCATCTCTCCAGCCCACCACGTAAGATTCTTACTAATATATTGTACTGGTTTCAGGTCCCAGATAATCTACAAGGACCATCAGTGTCATGGAAAGATTTGTCATATCTCAGAACATCCCAAGATTCAACAAGCATCCAAGTCCGGCCTTTGAAGACACAGCTGAAATCCTGGAAACCTTGTCTTTCCTCTAAAAGTGGTAGGAATAGAAACTTATTTTCAAATTTATGGAAGTTAGGTCTCTGGCTTTGAAGATGCAGACTTGCATTTATAAACTTGTTGCATGTGAACACTTGTATTCATCAAAACCAGAGGTGCTCAGTTGAGAGCTTTGTATTCAGCGACCCTCACAGGAATTGCAGTCATCCTTCCTTGTATGAGTTTCCCTGCCATTGAGTCACTTAACCGTTTTATAACTTTGTAGAGTGCTAAAACTGTCTAATACTGTGGTTGATACTGTGTTTCCATCTTCAAGTAATTTTCAGACCTTTGTTAGTGGTTCACAGAAAAACAGATGCATCCTAGTGCAGTAAATTAAGGAATGTGTGGTCTTTGGGTGATGTGGCAGCACGTAAAGTGACAGCAAGCCAATGTGAGAATCACAGAGGCTTGGAAGTTGGCTTAGTGGTTAAGAGTGGTTAAGTGGCTCTTGAAGTGCACCTGGGTTCAATTCTTAGCTCTCAAGTGGCAGCTAGCAACCATCTGTAACTCAAGATCTGACACCATTTACTGACCACCTCCAGTACCATGTATGCACAGGATCCATAACATACTTGCACCTGTACACATGAAATAATAAATCTAAAAAGAAATAAATAAATGAATAAAGCTTAAAGAAATACTCAAGGAATACTTCCTGGAGGAAGGAATATACATTATATCTAAATATAATTTGAATTATGAGCAGGAGAAATCCAGGTAAATAGGTAGTACAAAGCTATTAAAGTGAGAGAATACAACCCATTATGGAAATTATAAGTAGCTCAGTCTGACTTGAGAACTGATAAGGAATAATGAAGGAGAAACTAAAGGAGGAAATGAGGTACAAGTTGTTCCTCATTTCACACTATTCATATCCTACCTGTAAAGGGCACAGTAGAGGGGGACGGATAAGGAAGTGACATTATTGGATTTGTGGCTTAGAACTCGGCTTCAGAGTATAGAAATGATTTGAGAAAGACAAGATTAGAGGTTTATTATATGTACTGCCAAAGTGAACACAAGTTTAGAGGTTTATTAACAGACTTGGAATCCAAGAAGCCACGGTAAATGAGAAAACCTGTGTTACTCTGGGGCATAGAGGAGACTGAAATTGAAATCTATTAGGTGGTCATCATTAAAAGCAAATCATGAAAGAGAAAAAAATTGAACATGATCAAGTTTCATTCCTTTTTTTTGTTTTTTTGTTTTGTTTTGTTTTGTTTTTCGAGAAAGAGTTTCTCTGTGTAGCCCTGGCTGTCCTGGAACTCACTCTGTAGACCAGGCTGGCCTGGAACTCAGAAATCCACCTGCCTCTGCCTCCCAAGTGCTGGGATTAAAGGCATGCGCCACCACCACCCAGCACTCAAGTTTCATTCTTAAACAACTTGATTAATAATGGTATTGTTTGTGGAAAAGAAAAAAGAATCTGATGTTTGATATGGGGCATTTGAGTCCAAATACAAGCAAAACTCCAGTATGACAGTCTAGAGCTTGAAGTGGAATTGGAGATCTGAGAAGACATGAGCTCAAATGTAAGTAGTAATTGACACCTAGGGTAGAGTTTCAACCATGAGGATAATACATGAAAACCCAAAATGCTGCTGAGGGAACATAGTTTTTTAGTTACAAGCTCTAAAATCGAAAAGGAAAAGCTAAGGGTATGAGGAGCACCCAGAGGAGAGTCATGTGTAGTATCTCGCATTTTTAATTCTACCTTTGGGTGGCCCTAAGTTTGATGCCAGTCTGGGCTTTCAAGTGAAACCCTGTCTCAAGAAGAAAAACAGAACAATGGAAAGTGTGGGTCTCTGTGCTATAGAAAGGCTAAGATCCAAAAAGTACCCATTCAATTATATACAGTTATAATATTGGTGACCTTGACAAGACTTGTATCAATAGAAGTAGCAGAGTTCAAGAAGAAGGTAAACTAGAAACCACGCAGCAAACTCTAGGGAAACCCTTTAAAGAAATTTTACTGTGAATGTAAGTAAGACTGCTCAACAGATACATAGTCAAGGAGCTTGGATTTTAAGGAGGGAAGGGTGATTTCAGCTTAAGCTGTTAAGTGGGACTATCTTAGGTTTGTTATGGGTTTCTGATAAAATAACCATGGCAAAAGCAATTTAGAGGGGAAACAGTTTATTTAACCTCATAATTCCAAATTATATTTCATCATTAAAGGACAGTTAAGACAGTGTTGAGAACTTGAAGCAGCTAGTCACATCCACAGTAAAGAGCAGAGAAAGTATGAATACATGCATGCCTACTACTACACTTAACTTCCTCCACATTAACACAATCTAGGACCCATATCCAAAAACTATATAGTCCACAATGGGCTGGGCCTTTTCACATCAATTAACATAATCAAGACACTCCCCACCCCCCAAGACATCCACACAAGCCAACCTGATCTAAATAGTCTGAGACATTCTTCCTAGCTGACCCCAGATAGCGTCAGGTTGATAATGAAAAACTAACTGTTACAGGAAGTCAATTTAGAAAGAGATTGAAAATAATAATAGTGATCAGCTGAAGTCTTAAAGGGAAGAAAAGATGAGAGTCAAAAGGAAAGTGTAGACCTTGGCATTGGGAAAGAGAAAAGAGCCCAGAGACAATGACATCTTTGTAAACAGACCCTTCTATTTTTCTCTTATAGAAAAAGAGACTAAGCTAGCCATAGTGTAGATGACCTATAATCCCAACTACTTGGAAAGCTGGGTAGAAGAATCCCTTGAGTCCAGAAGTATCAGACTAACCTGTGGAGAACATAGGAAAATTCTTTCTCAGAATATGTGAAGAAATGTAAATTCTGGGGTTTTACTAATTTTGTTTTGCTTGACCATTTCAGATCCTAAGAATAATGAAACAACAGCAACAGAAGACATTTCAGAAGAAAAAGAACCAGAACTCTCTTGGGATCCTTCATTTAGAGGTGTCAGTGAGCACAAAAGCAATTTAGAGTGGCAGCAAAGAAGTTCCCCTCTCCACAGGGGCAGTTTTAGTCAAGTGATCTTCACACACAAATCCTTAGCAAAGAGAGACCATCATGATGAATCTCAAAGATGCTTGATTCTAAGTACAAACTCTGTAACATGTCAGAAAGTTTCTACTGATGATAGACCTTACAGATGTGATGTATGTGGGCATAGCTTTAAACAACATTTCTCTCTAACACAACATCAGAGAATACATACTGGAGAAAAGCCCTATAAATGTAATCAGTGTGGGAAGGCCTTTAGTCTGAGGTCATATCTTATTATTCATCAGAAAATCCATAGTGGTGAAAAAGCGTATGAATGCAATGAATGTGGAAAAGCTTTCAATCAGAGCTCAGCTCTCACTAGACATCGGAAAATTCATACAGGTGAGAAAGCTTGTAAATGTAATGAGTGTGGAAAAGCATTCAGTCAAAGTTCTTACTTAATTATACATCAAAGAATTCACACTGGTGAGAAACCCTACGGGTGTACTGAATGTGGGAAAACCTTTAGCCAGAGCTCAAAGCTTATTAGACATCAGCGAATTCATACAGGAGAGAGACCATACGAATGTAATGAATGTGGAAAAGCTTTCAAGCAGAGCTCAGAGCTGATTACTCATCAGAGGATACACAGTGGAGAGAAACCTTATGAATGTAATGAGTGTGGAAAAGCCTTCAGTCTGAATTCAAACCTCATAAGACATCAGAGAATCCACAGTGGAGAGGAGCCTTATCAGTGTAATGACTGTGGCAAAACCTTCAAAAGGAGCTCAGCCCTTGTTCAGCACCAGAGAATCCACTCTTATATATGTAATGAATATGTAATGAATGTGGGAAGGCTTTTAGGCACAGGTCAGTGTTGATGCGCCATCAGAGAGTCCACGCTATTAAGTAACTTAATACAATGATTCGTAAATACATTGGTATATTTTTCTCTGTCTGAAAAGGTTGACTTTGGAGCACAATTCCATAAAGGTAGTTTTTTAAAAAAACAGTCTTTAGTCAATCTAACTTGCTTTGTGCAGCACTTCCCCAATGCTACTGAAATTTTCTTTGAAACTTCCTGTGACTTACCAGAAAAAGATATAAGACCATTACTTTGAATTTTGCTCTTAGCATTGGGAATACTCAGGAAAAAAAAAAAAAGAAGAAGTAATGCAATATTGAGACCTTATTTTCTATGAGAATGTCATGGGAAACAGCTTCATTGTGCCACTCCATCAGTGTACCAGGTTTGTGAGACAGGATGGTTGGCATTAAGAGACTGCTTAAAGAACTCAAAAGCTTTTACTCAGCAGTCAACAAGACAAGTGAGAAAAGTTTCATTGATGATTTGTTGATCTGAAGACAGACCCAAAATGAAATGAGCTTGAAAAGTAAAAGTTAATTTAATTTATACAAGTGGAGAGTCTCATCTGTTTCCCACTGTCATGCTGGGAACTGAACTTAGGGCTTCAAATGCTAGGCAAGTGGGCAGTCCTATGTTATTTTATAATTCTTGTTTTGTGTCAGGGACTAGGAATATAATGGGGTTGGGGAAAATGATTTCTACAGTCTACTAGCTATTACCAGTCAGGTAATAACACTTAGTGTGGTCAGTCTATTATGACTTTTAAGAGTACTTCTTAAGCACTTTCCCCATTTCCTTGTCCAAGAACTTGGATAAGGAAATTGAAATATGAAGATTGAGGAGTTAACTAGGAAGGAAAACCAGGTAACAAGAAAGGAAGAGATCTTTTTATTTAATGGCAGGAACAAGACATAGAACATTGCCTACTGAGGTCAGAATTGCATCACATCTGTGAGAAGTATGACTGCAGGCAGACTCAAGGACTGCAGATGAGCCTATGAAGATAAAAACCTCAAGTCCTTAGCACCATGAAGAGCTTTGTCTTGGTCAGTGTGCCCTAATGGAGAAGGCTAATAAGTGGTTTCCTGGCCCAATCTGAGACATTTAAATTTCTACAGAAAGAATGGTAGGAGTGGACTATAGAAGAGAACAACCTAGATAAAGACTATGAGTTCGATGGCAACTGTATCTAAAGCTGCTTCTCCACCATTTCTCCATCTTAGCATGACTGTGCTCGAGTGCTCAAAAAATTGTCAATTTCTGGGTCTTTGGCTTTTTCTCCAGATAACTCACACATGTTTTATGTTAGCAATATTTAGCAGTATCTTGGAAAAAAAAATGTAAGGACCATGCTCGAGAAGAAACAACAAAAGTAGTAACTACTGTTAGTCAGCACTTTCCCTCTTAGGAACCCCTCAGGAAGAATACCATAAGCCTAGTGCATAGTGCAAGGGGGAGGTTGGTCAACTCAAGCCTCATCATGCCTGTACTCTGGACAGTGAGACAAAAGGTTGAAGCATTCCTGGCAATTTAAGCTACATAATAGGACCTAGGACCCCATCTCAAAATATTGGGAATAAAAAGCTGTTTGGAAGAATAACATACCAAACTCAAATCTATGTAGAAACAGAAAAATAATTTTTATGAGGATATGAAAGTAAAATTGTCTTAGACATTTATAGGTGAGTATGTACTAACCAATAAAAATAATGAGCCAAATGCCTAATGTAGATGTTAAGTAGGATAATGTTTACAAAAGGAAAATACTCTGGAGCTCTTACAAAGATCAAGAGGAAATGTAACAGGTGTTTGGCAAGAGCTTTGTGTATGTGTTAGTCATTAGTGCAAATCTTATTTTGTACATAGGAAATGGAGATTTGTGAGCTACAAGGTCAGAACCCTATTCTGGGAGCATGTTACATTGTCCATGAAAAAGACTCACAAACATTTAAACAGATCCCAGAAGTGCCAGCCAACAATCCATATGTCCAGTCGTACAACTTACAATCATATTGGAGTAAGAATGAAAGTGATACTTGTTTTTCATATAAAGTTAACGACTCAAGCAAATTGGGACTCTCTTGCTGACGGATGTGAATACATATCTCTGGCAACCAATACCAGAAGCCTTAAGCACTGCCTTTGACTTTGAAATTCTACCCAGAAATATACTTAAACCAAGAATATCCAGTCTTACAAGCTGTTAAAAATGTGTTAAACATTCATAATATATTAAATATACAGTCCATACAATATGATCCCATGTAAAAACACATGCATTAAAATAACAGAAATACACAATGTCAAGATGTTACACTAGTTACTTGTGGGTGGTAAAGTTACAGGTAATGTGAGCTTTTTTTTCTTATTTCAAGTTTTACTACAAAACCTAATACTGCTTATAGAACAAAGGGCTAGAGAATATAATTCAGTTATAAATCATAAGCTTACTATGTTTAAGGCTCCAGGCTTAATCCCTAGATCCCCAGCCCTGGGTGAGGCTGGTAAGGAACAGAAAAGCCCAAAATTGTTGTTAAAGTAAGTACTTGCTTTCTATAACATCCCTGTCTCAAGTCAAACAAACTGAACTCTGATCTTTCACTGTTGATGAATTCACACTTACCTGCTTTATAATATTAAAAGAATCCCCTTCAAACCTCCTGTGCAAGTAACTTACATGTTTAAAGATTTATGGCTGAGAAAGTGTGTCTTGTAAGTGATTAAGAGCTTTGGTCATTAGTGCTTTTCCATGAATTCAGCAGTCATATATGTTATCTTGACTATATTCTCATGTTAAAGAGATGAAGATGATGATCTTATGTTTCAATCGTTATGAAATGGAGCAGACACCAACATCAGCTGAAAGAAAAAGTTGTTTTGTCTTTCAACAGCTTTTTTCTGAAAGAAATTAACTAATGCCCTTCTCTCTGCTCCATGCTTTTTTCCATCTTGCTCCAGTGGCTGTCTAAAAAGTCTATAAAACAAGCACATGCCTTACATGGGCCTTAAATCAGTTTCTTCCTCATTTCCACCACCTGCAACCAAAACTGAGAGACTTGAACTTTTAAGGCATTTGACAATGGCCTAATAACCCACTTTTGTTTGTGAACTGCCAAGGAGAAAGTCACATCTCTTTGGCCAGCCTAGTCTTCGTGTGAAACCCTGTCTCAAAATTACTCAAAACATGGGACTAGAGAGACATCTCAGTGGTTAAGAGCAGGGCTGTCCTTGCAGAGGATCAGAGTTCCATTCTCAGGACCACATTGGGTGGTGTACCCCTGTAACTCCACGGGAATCCAGTGTCCTCTTCTGGCTTCTCCAGGCATTTGCATTCACATGCACATAATTTTAAAGTAGTCATTCCAAAGGTCTTTCTTAGCTGTTAGTATTGAAGGAGGATATCTAGGTAAATTTAGTATGAGAATTTTAAAAGCTCTTGTTCTCATCCCCTTCCTCCAACAATTCAAGCTTAAAGTCTGTGCTTCCTGATGCTGTTTGTTTAATCCAGGAAATAGAGCAGAAAGAGAAGTCTGCTACTTCTCTTTCCACCCTCCAGCTTAACTCCATTCATGCTGTTCTGTTCTTTACCTGAATGATTTAAGAGCAACACTTTAAAATTTCAGTTTTATTACATTCCCATTACATGCTGATACTGCTAAGCAGTTGAAGTGCAAACTGAATATAAATGTTAAATTACTAAAGATTCTTACCAAAAATATTAGAATTAGGGAAAAACTCTAATAGGAAGTAGTTCAAAAGTTAATTTTGCTAAGGGTAATGGAGTTATGGATGACTTATCAACACAATTAGAAAAGGGATTAAATGATATTTAAAACATTGAATCATTTGTCACCTGTAAGAAAAGGCAGTTCACTGTCCATTTGAATGATCCCTTTATGGTAGATCTTAGATGATAATTGCACAACCTTTGGAAGTGAGAACCATATCCAATGTTACCTCCCCTACTCAGAATAGCTATTATTAACAAGTTCTCAAAAAAAAAAAAAAAGGGTACACTGTCCTAGGTAGAAATTACCCTCAGTGATTGTGGATTAATTAAAACTGCCAAATTAAAATCAAGGAAGAATTTTGTAGAATCTGAAGGATTGACTCTATTTCCCTCAAGTGGCTTATCATCAGCAAACCTAATGCTGAGAGGCTCTCCAGACTCTAGTGTCCATCAGCTTCCAATGCATGCTGTTTCCTTGGTATACATGTATGACTTTAGAAATACCAGTTTTATTTTTTTTTTTTTTTTTTTTTTGGTTTTTCGAGACAGGGTTTTTCTGTGTAGCCCTGGCTGTCCTGGAACTCACTCTGTAGACCAGGCTGGCCTCGAACTCAGAAATCCACCTGCCTCTGCCTCCCAAGTGCTGGGACTAAAGGCGTGCGCCACCACCGCCCGGCTACCAGTTTTATTTTTTATCATGCTAATTCTGAATACTGCATCATGTAGGTCACTTATGATATGAAACATTTTACATTATCCAACTCAGGCTATTACAACAGGAAAAGAAACCAACCTGGCTTCTGAACTAGGGTCAAAAACAACTCCAGAAGGAACTGGAGTGAAGTCACGATACAGGAATGTCTCCATATCCTTTCCTCATCGTGCCATGTATTGCTATGACCTATGCCTCTGTTCTGCCATTAGCCAAGCTGCTGCTTCTACATTTTAGATCTCAATGTCACATCCAAGAAATATTTAGTAACTCATAGATAACATCCCTGATACGTCTTCCAACAGAACCATAGTTATTGCCACACACTTACCGAAATAATTGTTTTAATAAATATGTATATTCTGCTAGCCCTTAATTTAGAGAGGGTGGTGACCAAACCTGTTCTTCCAATGGTCAAGCCCAGCAGAATTGCAAATAAGGAAGTAGACTGCAACAGAAAGCTCAGGGTTGAAAGCAACTAGCAGGGGTACAGAATGATCTTCCATTCCTCAGATATTGAACTGATCCAGGACATAACATTTCATAGTCTCAATTCAACATTTCAGCGTTCAGTAACTTTCTCCTGTCAGGCACAAATGCTTTAGACAGATCTTGTAAAGAGATCTTACAGGATCTGTGCCTCAATCATGGCCTTACATGAAGGTGTTCAACGGCAGTTCTATCTGCAGTGGAGAGTGGGATGAAGAGCTGATTGGTGAGAGTCCTCATCCAGAAATGGGTCAATCTTTTTCCTCCCTTAGAAAATACCATTCTTTGTAGACAAGTTCTGGATAAAATTCTTTCAATATGCAAGCATTTTGTGTGGATCTCTTTTTACCGAACAGAACTGGGCTGGAATGACCAAAGTCCTGCTATCAGGAAACTTCTCTATCTTCTGTGAAGTCTCACCTTCAAAGTGAATTCTTTGCATTTTACAGTTGTACAACTACTTACCCTCAGAGTTGAACTCTGGTATGTGTTCTCTGATGCTGCACAAGGCCTGACCTATGTCTAAATATTTTCCTACATTCATTACATTCATAAGGTTTCTCCCCAGAGTGAGTTCTCTTGTGCACAGTGAGTGCTGAACTTCTATTAAAGGATTTTCCACACTCATTACATTTATAAGGCTTTTCACCAGTGTGGATCCTTTGGTGTTCCCTAAGAACATAACTTGTCCAAAAAGCCTTACCACATTCAGTACATTCATAGCCTTTGTCTCCACTGTGAATCTTCTTATGCTGAATAAGGGCAGAGCTCTGGATGAAGGCTTTCCCACATTCATCACACCTATAAGGTTTTTCTCCACTGTGAATCTTTTTATGCTGAATAAGAGTAGAACACTGGCTGAAGGCTCTCCCACATTCATCACAACCATAAGGTTTCTCTCCAGTATGAATTCTCCTATGCCTAATGAGCCCTGTGTTACTCCCAAAAGCTTTTCCACAGTCACAACATTTATAGGGTTTTTCACCACTGTGAATTCTCTGATGTCTAACAAGGTCTGCTCTGAAACCAAAGGCCTTTCCACACTCTTTACACGCATAAGGTCTCTCTCCAGTATGACTTCTCTGATGTCTAATCAGCTTTGATCTATTGCAAAAAGCTTTCCCACAATCCACACAGGCATAGAGCAGTTTCCCTGTGTGAGTTCTGGGCTGTGTAGTACCATGTAAGTTTTGACTAAGGATCCCTTCACCTTCATTACACTCAAAGATGTTCTGTTCTGAAGTTTTCTTGTTAAAGGCTGCCAAACTGAGACAGCCTCCCTGAGAAGAAAGCTGACTCGTTTTATTGCTTGTATCATTGCTTCCTCTTTGCTTCTCATTGTTGTCCAGATATCCCATATTTTCTTCAACTATCTGTACTGGAGAAGTTTCTCTAGGAAGTCTTCCTGGAGATGCCATGGCCACTGATGCAACACATTCAATAATTTCTTGCTTTGCTGTCAATATTTTCCCAGTCACCATCTTGCTATCTAAAAATGTGAATAATACATGTCATTTTTTTTCATGTTAAAAAAAATTTTAGAGAAGGAACAACAAGTAAACCAAAGGAAAAGCTAAGTGCTGGGTCTGGAGAGGTAGCTTAGAGATTTAAGAGTGCATATTCGTCTTGCAGAGGACCCACTTCAGTTTCTAGCACCCACACAGTGGCTCACAACCATCCCTAACTTCAGTTCCAGGAGCTCCAACACCCTTTTCTTGCCTTTGTGAGACCAGGTATGCAGGTGGTGCATGTATAGTCATACAGGCAAACATGCAATCTTTTTTTTAGAACAAAACAGGGATGGACATACAGCCAAATGACAGAGTGCTTGCAAACACAAGGCCCTAGATTTGAGCTTCAGGATTGGGGAAGGGATATGGCTAGGGAAATGACAATTAGCTTCCCAATAGAGAAGCACTCAAGAGAATAAAAAGGACAAGAATGTAAGTCAGTATTGGAGATGTTGAGTAGTGAACAAGAAAACAATACTTAGAGGAGGCAAACAGTTCATACCAGCCATAAACCAGAACGGGAAGAGACTATTCTAGATAAGCTAGTGTGAGGGGAGAGGTGATACAAGATAACCAGGAATAAAATGTCTTAAGAGTTGTACATCAGCGCAACATCTCGCAAAGTAGGAGAGTACGTGATACTATAAAATGTTTGTGGGATAAGAATTGGACAAAGGGAGGACGCAGGACATAGAAAGCAAGAAGGCACTTGCAAATTCTTGCAGGTTCTAAATAGGGCAAATATAAATAGTATATTTATGTAAATTTATATATGTACATATATATACTTTATATAAAAATTTTACTTACAAAATTTATATGTGTTCATATATAATTATATTTTTATATTTTAGTATATTGTTTTTATATAATATATATTATTTTTATATAAACATAAGCAATATATAAAAATATATGTATATAAGCAACTATAAATGTAAGTAGAGAAAGAAAAAGCATTCAAAAAGAAATGCTCTGGGTTCCTTACTCATTCTAGGTCAATTAAGAGTATTACTAATTCATCTCATAAGTATAAATGGCAAAAAAAAAAAAATACAAACAGGTGCCTAAGGGCCTAATCTAGTCCAGCTATCTTATAGCATGTCCTTTTATTTCAAAATTTTCCAGCATCTCAAAACAAGAACTACTAGATATACTTAATATAAATTGAGTTCTTTTAAGGGTTTTTATTGCACCAAAAAATCCTCTAAAAATATACATTTCACAAACCAGGAAACTAAAGCTTTCAAAGGTTATAGGAAGCTACAGGATTACTAATTGACAGTTAAGATTAAAGACAGCTGACTTCAAATTTTCAGGTCTTTCTCCCAAGTTACCTGCCTGCCTTTTTGGAAGCAAAGCTGTAGTTGCACTGAAACAAAAACAAAAAAACAAAACAAAACAAAAAAAAGATTTAAAACTCATTTTAGTTCACCTGTGGAAAGGGATAGTTTTACATGAAATAAGTATTTCTGATATTCAAGTTTCACAACAGCTTGAAAACAATGTAGCATTCCAGTGGATGCCTAGCAAAGCTCAGAGCAAGCTGGCTTCCTTTTCTATCATTCCTTATGAAAAATCAGAGAAAACAAGGATGAAATCATGTATCCTGTACTTGGATTTCAGAAATTTAAATCGTTAGTTAGTTAGTTACTCAAGGTTGTACTTATCTTAAAAGTTATGGGAAAAGGCTAGATGGTGGCACACATCTTAAATTCCAGGAGACAAAGACAGACAGATAGATTTTTGAGTGTGAGGCCAACCTTGCCTACATCCAGAGTTCCAAGACAGTCAGAGTTGTAACCCATATCTCAAATAAAAAGAATAAAATACTCAACAAACCACTAGTATATAATAAAGACATAAAAGTGTGCACTTGTCAGGCATAGTGGTGCACACCTTTAATCCCAGTACTTATGAAACAGAGACAAGTGGATTTCTATGAGTTCCTGGCCAGTCTGGTCTGCATAGTCTAAGAAACAGAACAACAAAAATACAGTAAGTACATGAAGTGCAAGGATGTGACCAGAGAAAGGTTGACCTTGGATGCATAAATCAGAAAAACAAGATTTTTTTCCTGTTCCCCAAATGACAGCAGACATAATGGAGACAGTAGCCTCCCATTTAATCTCATGCCCAAAAAGTATGGTCACACCCAAAGGTACTAAGAGCTTCAACCTATGATGCAGTAAATCGGGGCAGAGTCTGTAAAGACCTTAATAAAACCAAGTAAGGGCCAGGTGTGATGGCACCCAACTTTTTACCCAGGCACTCAAGAAGGCAGAGGAACATGGCTGGTCTATATATTGAGTATCAGGTTCAGGACAAAAGAACAAAAACCAGAGAGAGAAAAGGAGACTAGATATATCTGCCCTAAAAGATTTAGAGATTGTTATGGTTTGGATTCTATTCTCTAGGGCTTATCTCTTGGGAGCTTAGTCCCCTGTATGGTGATGTCAACTGATGAAACCTTTAAGTAGGCAGGCCTGTTAGGAGACCCCAAGGTCAACTGTAATGCCCTCAGAAAGGATTAAGGTGTTTCTCATAGGATTCTGGTCAGTTCTTGCAAGAAGAACTGATCCCAGAATTGCAGTCTCTGCTTCCAGCTTCTATGTGATAACTTGCTTCTGTCTATACTCTCATAACCAACATTATGATATAGTGTTGCAGAAAGAGTCCAAACCAGCAATGAGCCAATGAAGGTAACATAGCCTTAAACCTCTAAATGCATGAGTTAATAAACCACTTTTTTCTTCATAATGTTAGTTGCTTCAGGTCTCATTATACTTATTAAAAACTAATACAGACATTTAAATATTATTTTCTATTAGTAGATAGTTTCCTGTAAGGCAAGCGGTATGATAAAGTCATTTTTCAAAATTCATTTTAATGTGCCTACAGCTTAATACACAGGATATTTAGGAGGGCAGTATCAGAGTGGAGGAAAGTTCAGAGGGTGTTTCTAAAGAGACCTCAGTAGATAACTGATCTGATTCCTCTGGTGAACTGCCAAGGTCTAATGTCAGGCTTCTGTCCTCTTACTCCTAATTTTATCAACACACAGTGAACAGTTTACATTTTAGGGCAGATTCATACTAACCGAGCACGTGTAACTGCAGTGTAACTGCACTGAGCATGTAAATGATAGAGACTTGAATGAACCGAGTCTTTCTTGTAATATAGTTAAGCTTCATGGGAAGGTAACAAGATGACCTGGTGAAAATTAAATCAGAAGCAGTTAAATATGCAGGCTAGTACACCTGATGTGGCTAACTGTCCATATCAATGTTGCCAATAACTTAAAGTCCTTTTGACTCTAATCCTTGGCACCTGTAGTATTTTCAATTTATTGCCTCCTTGTTTCAAATTTATCATTGTCCTATCTATAATAATGGCATCATGCTAGCATGTGCATTTTATCAATTGAGAGAGTTGGAAGGACAGTGGAGGAGGAGACTTCTGTTCATTTCTTACAGCATGTAGGACACCCAACAACATACACCCCAATAAATCTCAGAGAAACTGTCCTCCTTGGCAGCTTCCCAGCAAATGTTAAGTCACATTTCCTGGCAGGCCTTTGGCACCCTATAAGGTGGCTCCTACTGAATCTAGCCTGCTGAGCATTTCAGAGAACATCTCTACCTCTGTCTATGATTGTACCCTCTAACAAGATCAGATCTCAGGCCTAGCAGGAGCAAATGAAACATGGCATCCTCCAGCGTATGTGTTCTTCTGAGGACTTTCTACCTTAACCTTGTATGTTCTAGAGTCTGACTTTTATTTATATTACATAGTGGTCAATGCCTTGCTACTTTTCTTCTTCTTTGAGACCATCTCATGTAGTCCAGTCTAGTCTGTAACATGCAACCCTCCTACCTCTCAGCCTTTCAAGTCAGTACTGGTATTATAGGTGTATGCCACCACATCTGGCTTGCAGCTGATGATTTTTAATATTAATTTTTTCCTTTTCCAAGTTATTATGAGACTTTTAGCTTCTGACAATATTCTTGTCCCTCTTAGAAATGGCCTTGTTAGTTTGACAAAAATATTTTTAAAACAATATTAGTCATGAATATGGTATTAGGAAATCTTATTAAAGACTTATTTTTAATCCATTAAAATTATATTAAAATTTCAGATTCTAGGCTAAGCCAATTGATGACTGTTTCAAGGCCAGCAGAACTTTCCAATGATACTTAGTCACAGTCATTAAGAAAGTAAGCCTTGGCACATTCGATAATCCTCACCTTCATCCTCAACCCTAAATGGTAGGGTTGCCTCATCTCTCTCATGGAAAATCTCAGGCTCCTGGGGTTCACTCTTGCAATGGTTCTCCAAGGACTGCAGTGGACTATTCAGAGACTTCGATGTTTCCATGAGTGTCCTTTCGTTGTAGACCATTTCTTGACCATGAGCTGTGTCCTAGAGTAACAAGTACCAGAATTGACTGAGGGCAGATAAGAGGAAAAACTCTACAGCAAAAGGGCAAGGTGGAAGAAGCAGAAAACTGTCAGATGACTAGAAAAAAAAACCAAAACCAAAACAACAACACAAAAAACAGTACTACAAACTCCCATGATTTGAACTAATGGATAAATGAATAACTAATTTACCAAGAGACAGAAACTGATTAAGTTCCCTGAGAGCTGAACCAGTGCTACTTATCCTGGTTTCTCTATTGAACACGAGATCAAAACCAGCAAAAAAGAATTTACATCTTACCTGTTGCTTGTGTTCATCAAATTCTCTCTCCAGCTCCTCCAGCAGAGTCACAGCCTCCTCTCCATTTCTGGGCCTGTGGTCTTGCACCCAGGCCTTCAGCTCCATAGGCAAAATGGTCATGAACTGCTCCAGCACCAGCAGCTCTAGAATCTGCTCCTTGGAGTGCTCCTCTGGCTTCAGCCACTGTTGGCAAAGCTTCTGCAGTTGGTTCAGAACCTCCCGGGGTCCAGTGAAGTCAGAGTACCCAAACTGTCTGAACTGCTGACGGAAAACCTCCTGGTTCTGGAGGTTTCCCTGAAGACTGAAGTCCTGCTTCCAAACACAATTTTCTTCAACTTTCACAAAGCTGAGCCTATTTTGTCCTTTTGGTGCATGACAGGCCAAGGCTGTTGTTTCTCTGAACATCCTGGACAGAATAATCAGAAAGGCTACCTAGCTGAGGCAGAGAGGAGATGGATCCAAAGAACCCCTGAGGTGGACAGTGTTCATGTTACACAGGGAAAGCATGTACCCACAATGTAAATACATGTTTATGAAGGATTTGGGTATATATACCACTATTTAAAAAACAAAACAAAACAAACACCTGCAGAGCTACAGGACGCAGCTCAGTGATCACAGTGCTTGTGTAGAAAACTGACTAAAAGGGCACTTCCATACAAATGATGACCTAAAGATTACACAAGATTATTTTCAGGACGTGAGACAGAAAATTTTAATATGGCCCAAATCTTGTGACTTCTAGTAATAACATTAGATAGCATTAAGAATACTAAAATAGTGCTCCATAAGAACCATCATGGTTTTGTCCATTTTCCAAATGAGGCTTCTGAGGATCAAAAGCTGACCAAAGGCACACAGCTAGTAAACGACAGAGCTGAACTTTGCAAGCAAGGTATTTAGCACTATTATGCCATGGAGTATCCCGAAAGACAGGAACTCAAAATCTAACACTTGCTGTGGGCAGTTTACAGGAGCTACTTTATTGGGTCTCAACAATACCACTATGCAGTAAATATCCCCCCATGTTTTACAGATGAAGAAGCCAAGCATCTTGAATTTTCCCAAGTCACCAAATTGGTAAGGACGTTAACCTAGGATTGCCTGACTCTCGATCACTAGCTGTTTTTATTCCAGAATGGATTGCCCAGACCAATCCTGGTTGTTCTTGCAAATTAGGAATGATGGCAAGAATGTAATGGGTGTCATGGGGAATGTCCATAAGTGCATAAAGAAGGAAAGCAAGAGCACAAGAGCCATGGAATTCCTTCGTTATTCACAAGAGATACAAATTCCCTTCGTTATTTCACAAATACTTTAAAATTTACTATGTACTAGACAGACTGCTAAACAGAAGTCTCATATTAAGTTCTTCCAAGGGACTCTAAGTTCAGTTTGGGAAAACAAAAGGCAAACATTATGATTGATCAAAGGAATCACAGGACAATCAAAGGAAGGTAAACATGAGGAAAAGACCAATGACTAAGAGCAGAGAGGGATCCAGAAAGCCAGAGCGAGCTGCCTGCAAGATAAAAAATAGCAGTCTGATCTGAGTGACACAAATGGGTGTGAGAGAACATGGCCCACTGAAGAAACTGATGGGAGTTTAGGAATAGCAGACTAATGGTTGTCACCTCCAGTTGCAGCTTAATTATCAGCCATGGAAGATGGGCCCTAATATAGATTCAGTCAGAATCCCCAGGAATATGGCTTTAGTAAATGCCCCAGGTAAGTCTATATACCCAGGTTTAAAAGTCTATGCCAGACTCTGGAACACTAATGGACAATAAGAGAAAATATACCTATAGTAGAACAGCTGAGGCATCCATGGTGTGAGCGGTCGAACCCCAAGAGCACAAGCATGGCTGGAAGGTCTGATTCCCATGCAGAGTAGTGTGCAGAAGAGATGGGCTACAACCATTCAGGTATGAGCCTATAATAGCTTGAAGGATAGAAGATACAGAAACTGAACAGGTCTTAGAATCCTACTCGATAAGGGTTTTGGTAGATAGAGTCAAGACTAGGAATAGTGTTTCAAACCTGTACTCCAACATTTACTACGCTGGAAAAAAACTGTGAATTCCAGGCAGATCAGGCTACGTAGTGATTTCTTACCTATACACTGAGATCCCTGTCTCTAAAGAAAGAGAGAAAAATTATTTCAGGTTTCTGGGCAACTCTAGTGACTGGAAGCTGATTGTGCCATATCTGAACTATTCAGTAACAAAGTTAGGTCAGAGATCTCTACAAAGTAACATTTCCTCTGTGCTTTGGCAGATATTAACAGACGTTTCATAAATAGCGAAACATAAATCCATGGATAAACAACATGAACACTACTATATAGAGTGTATGTTTTGAGACAGGGTCTTACTATGCAGCTAGGACTAGTCCCCAAACTCACAGTCTTCCTTACTACTTCCTCCTAAGCACCTCCCAAACCCTGGTAAATTTTAGTATAAGAAAAAGAATAATTACCTTTTCTTCTTACTAAATAAGTCAGTATTTAAGAAAGTTCAGGGGTACATAGTGATACCTTGTCTGGAAGTTGTGGGGGTGGAAGGACAGAATGGGACATTTGCTACCAAACCTTCTGACCTGAGTATGACCTGGAACACAAAGGGTAAAAGGAGAATCCCTGAATGTGTTCCTCTGATCTGTGAGTGCACACACACACACACACACACACACAACTAGTGCACATACATCAAATAAATTAAAATATAAACAAAGAGGGAAACAAAGAAATGATGTGTGCCGTGCTGTCGGACGTTTATGGTGTATCACAGCGTTTACCAGGGTTGCACATTGATATGTGTTGTTCACTTTGTGATCAGCACTCTGCTACATCTCTAGCCTTTCAATCACAGTATTTGTGATATTACTCATTTTTTAAAATTTATTTTTAAGATTTATTTTTAATTTTACGTAGGTGTGTGTGTCAATATATGGGTTGTGCTCATGCATGCAGTGCCTATTGAGGCTAGAAAAGGACATTGGATTCCCTGGAGCTGGAGTTACAGGTAGTTGTGAGCCAGCCAACATAGATGCGAGAAACTGAACTGAGGTCCTCTGCCAAGAGCAGTCAGTATTAACCCTGTGCTGCCTCACCAGTCCTTTCTCAATTTTTATTATAAATACTAAGCTTCAACACCATGTTCTTCAGGCACGTGTGACTGAGAGAAGTTTATAACACGTTTTTGTTTCTGCTACTCTAGTTCCTTCCCAGTGCCCCCATAAAATTAGTCCTAAGCATTTCCCCTTACTGTCCCTCTCCATGTCTCCCTCATTTTCAGCTAATACCCATCACCTAGTCTAGAACCCCCACCTAATCTCCAGACCTACCTAGTTACCCACAGTTGCTCAACCTCATCATCAATTTTCTTGAATATCTCAAAAGAACTTCAAATGCAGCATAGGGAAACCACCTCATGATCTTTTCCAACTTGAACCTGTGTTCAACAGAATAGCCATTTGGCTGTGTAGCCAGTAACCAACACATCTAACAGTCCTCTCTAACCCCTTCCTTCTATGCAAATTAAGCCCTGCGGGTTTTATTTCTTACCACTTGGCTTTCCTCTGACCAACTTCTGCTCACAGTGGAGTTTACTGATCAAGGTCAGCTGTTGGTTTTGACTTTTGATACCTAATGTGATTGTAATGTGCTATCAAGACTGTTAATGGGAGACTGAAGGGATGGCTCAGGGCTTAAGAGCACTGGCTGCTCTTCCAGAGAATCTGGGATAGAGTCCAGCACATACACGGCAGCTGACAGCAGTCTGTAACTTGAGTTCCAGAAGATCCAATTCCCCCTTCTGGCTTCCAAGGGCACTTGGAAAATTGTGTGCCTGTGTATGTATACACACACACACACACACACACACACACACACACACACACAATTATGGGCCAGACTAGGTTTCCACAGTGCAGCACTCACTAGCTAGTAATTGATTCTGGCTGTCAGGTGGGTATATGTGCCCTTCATGTGGCTCTGGTTATTTTTTTTAAAAACAAACCTTTTAGGATGAAGCACTCTTTAATGTACTCATCTCATTCACTAGGGCTGTGTTCTAGCTTAGTCAGATGCTCCTAAATCAGATCCCAATAACTATATCTGTAGCACAATCCACAGATGATCCTGAGATGTCAACGCTGAGAACCCTGACTTAGTCAAGAAAGTGTAAAAGACAAGGGTAAAGGAAACTGCATTTCTCTCAAAGCACTTGACTTTTTGTCAAGAAATACACTTTACTGGTGTGGGGAAGGTGAACTAGAGATGGTTCACTGGTTACGCACACTTATTGCTCTTACAGAGAACCAGGCTCAGTTCCTAGTACCCACATAGTGGCTCACAACCATCTATTACTCTAGTTCCAAGGACTCCCATGCACATGGTCCACATAAACTTACACAGGCTCACATAAATACATAAATTAATTGACACACTTTAATGGTATTTCTGGTCTTGTCCATGACTACACAAACTACATTGTTTTGTCTCATTACTGTATTTCTATCACTCAACCCAATGAATCACATGGCACTCAATATTATATATAGGATTATAGAACTGAACATATATACGAATGTGTGTACATATGCATGTGTGCATATAATATATATTATACATATATAATATATATGTATTATATGTATGTGTGTGTGTTGTGTATGTGTGTGTATCATAAATAATTTCAAAGATGCACTGGTCAACACTGTCAGGTACCTAATACAAACTGAGAAACATTCCCACAGCAGTTAGCAGGTTTCAAGTAGTGATGTAGCTCACAAAAAAGCAGTAGCGTTGAAGTCAGACAATCCTAATCAGTCAGGTAATCATAGTGGGATTCCGGGATTCCATTCCCTCTCCTAGAAAGAGCTAATGCCATAACTACAGTAGCTAGTGCTGCACAGTATGTTAAGCATGCCTTTTTATTTTGATGCTTTCACACAAACAGTCCCTCTGAGGGCTAGCCAGTTCCCACTGCAGTAAGCATCAGTGTGGGCATTCCTTTCCCTGGAAACCAACAAACCCAGAATCCCCTCCTCCCAAGCTCTTGGTGAGGTTCTCACCCTCAAGACCATCACTTTCCTATACTAATCTCGTCAAGGTCAGCGCCAAACAATCGGGGAAATCCCCATCTCCCAGAGTACACTGCTGCTTCACCTGATCCTTCTTATAGCAACCGCAGCCGAGATTCTTACCATTTCCCCGTGTGCTTTCTGCCCTCTGACTTTCCTATCAAGGCATGCTCCATCTCTTGAGAACTATAGGAACAAACTTCCTTTCCAACCCAAAGCACCTCCTTTTAAAAACCACATGTCACAACTGCCCCAGTAAGATATCCAAGGTAAGAAGCAAATTCCACTTTACAAGGAATGGGCTACAGAATAGGCTTTGTGAAAAATTTACCAAAAGAAGAGTCACTAAGAGCAAGCCCAGGCCCCTGGCTCCCGTCCTCTCACAGAAGACTGTAGAGAGGCATTCCAGTGTTTCGGGGCAGCATTCACACTCAGGATCCAAGTCTGAGGAAGCAAAGTTGTCTGCAAGGGTATAAAGTAACTGATTCTGATCAAAAAAGCTGGGTTTAGGTGTCACCTAGCAAATGGTGAACGGGAATAGAGGTGGAAGGCACTGAGCCTGGGAGCAAGCCCAGCTCCCACTTCTAGAAGGTGAATCCCTGGCTCCTAACTAGCCACCCGCCTAACCAAGAGGAAATCTCCAGGGCACTTCTGGGTAACAACCCTCTGGCTGAGGCAGGCTGTTATTATTAATGTATCTGCACTGAAACGTAATGTGTCAGAATGTTACTACTTGATCATTTAATAAGTAATGATACACTGCACCTTTATAGTAGATCCCAGCATTGTTAACCCGGCCTTCACAGCATGCTATAGGGTAAATTTCACTGTTCAGTATATGCACATTGCCCCATCTTATGTGGCTTGTGGGGTAATCTGGACTGTTACTTTTGTTGTTGGTTTGGTTTTTTTTTTTTTTTTTTTTTTTTTTGGAGCCAGGGTGTCATATTTGAGCTGGCCTTTAACGAGTTCATCCTCCTGCTTCCACCACCTGAGTGCTGGGATTATAGGTCCGACTCCAGGGTCCACAATCTCAGATGACTCCGCTGCTGGAATGCTGGCTCATATCTGCTTTACTCAGTCAAAGTGCTCATTAGAAGAGGGCCTCAGCTTTTACAAAATTGATTATATTCATTGTGTACAGGCATTAAGGAAGGGCTGAGCAGTTATCAAGACATTGCCCCTGCCATTACAGAACTTAACAGCAGGAAGTGGTATGTGTTAAACAGAAGCACACATTCATATCTAATTGTGAATACAAATTACCAAAAGCCAGACCTCGTGGCACAAGACTGACTGTATCTAGCTACTTGAGAAGTTGAGGCAGAAGTTCTCCAAATTCAAAGTCAGCCTGGGCTAGAGTGAGCTCTGGGTAATTAGTGATATCGTGTCTCAGATTCTAAAACTCTAATAAATTTTAAAACCTACAGAGAACTCGGTGCTTTGAAAGTATCTAGTAAAGGAAAAGCCAGGTCCGTGGTGAGAGCTAGCCCTGGAAGAGTTTTGTAGCAGGCTCCACAGCAAGGAGCCTGCCAGCACCAACACACAGGAGGCGCCGGTAAGTGACAGAGTAATCTGGTAAGTGCAAAAGAACCTCAGAGGCACCCGTAGAGGGACAAGCGACCCGCGAACCTGCGAAGTGGCCTAGGCACAGCTCCAAGCTCTCCCCAAGCGGACTCCGAGCGAGGGGTAGAGGGGAGGGTTATGGGAGGATTGCGCCCCACCAGAGAGGCCGGGAAGGCATTTAAGCCCAATGGCTGCACCCTCACACTCACCTCGCTCCTCAAGCTACCCGCACAGCTCCGGGAAGCCGGAAAGCCACCGTGCTAGCACGCCGGAAGTAGGTACGAGCGTACCCCTCTAGGAAACCTGAAGACCACTTTTCTATGGCTGCATGTGCCCTTTTTGGGGTGTCTCAGTGACTGAATACATGATAAAATTGCAGTGAATCAGAATTATAGTGAATCAGATCTTGAGAGTTGAATCAAGTCAGTGCGTGAAAGAGACTGTTAGGTTTTCAATGTGTGTGTTTTTTAAAGACTTGTATTTATTGTATGTATGTGAGTATACTGTCGCTTTCTTCAGACACTAGAAGAGGGTATCGGATCCCATTACAGATGGCTGTGAGCCACCATGTGGTTGCTGGGAATTGAACTCAGGACCTCTGGAATAGCAGTCAGTGCTCTTAACCGCTGAGCTATCTCTCCAGCTCCCTCAAGGTGTGTTCTAATGACTTAAAATACATGTGTGCTTTTCCCTCAAAGTGATCTGGCTGTAAAGGAAGGATGATGTTGGTGATGATTCTTTCTCGACTTTATGAAGATCATTGTTTTGAGAGCTAGTTTTCCTGAATGTCAGAAAAGGTTTAAATCAAAATACTGATGTTGAGTCTAATATAATACATAACTAAATTAAATCTGAAATGCCCTTCAAAAACCAACACCCATGTTCTTTCAAGGACTCGGATTGTAAAGTAAATATAGGCAAATCTGGTCATTTTTATGCATTGCCTTTTTAAAAAATGACTGCAAACAACAACAAAAAGGATAAATGCTCTTGCTGTTTTCTCTGGTCCTAATTTTGTTCTTCACTGTTGAACATTGTATAATTTTGTAGTCATGACACTTGATTCTGTGTGCATCTCCTTAATTCCCCATGAATCTCCAAGCTGAAAGGGCTCAGGTTCAGGTTTTTGAAGGCCATTCTAAGTGCTACATGCATGTTGTGGCACAGTGTCTAATATAGAGATACTTGTTGAATGAATAAATTCACAGAGTCCTAAAATTTTTTTTCTAATGTTAGTAAGACACATACGTTTAATCTCAGAATTTAGGAGGCAGAGGCAGGTGAATCTCTATGAATTCCAGGCCAGCCTGGTCTACACAATGTGTTCCAGGAAAGCCAGAGCAACATAATAGAGACCCTGTCTAAATAAATAAATAAATAAATAAATAAATCCCAATAATAATACTGTTATCCTGAAGTTCATTCAAGGATTGGTCTGACCTACACTTGTGACTCCTTGCCTGACTGCTTTCCTCCGCTTTCTTCCTGTCTTCCTTTCTGTCTCGTCAATATCAAAGTTCAGCATTACACTCATTGACATGAGCACCACAAGACTATCTGACCTGTTCCTATATTTGTGTAAGCCAATTTCCTGTAAGAATGCGCGCGCGCACACACACACACACACACACACACACACAACATACATGCAACTACTATTGTGCTTCTCTGGTTCAACAATGATGCTATACCAGTAAAGAACATAATTTCATAGTCGGGCGGTGGTGGCGCACGCCTTTAATCCCAACACTTGGGAGGCAGAGGCAGGCGGATTTCTGAGTTCGAGGCCAGCCTGGTCTACAGAGTGAGTTCCAGGACAGCCAGGGCTACACAGAGAAACCCTGTCTCGAAAAAAAAAAAAAACCAAAAAAACAAACAAACAAACAAAAAAAGAACATAATTTCATGACCAAAAAAGCGGAGTGCACACGTAAAATTTCCTCACTCAGGAACCTAAGGCAGGAAGACTGCCAGGAGTTCAAGGCCAACCTGGGTTACAGAGTAAGTTCCGGGTCAGCCAGAGCTATACAGCTAGATCCGGTCACAAAAACAACAATACAGCCAACCACCACCACAAACAAAAAAACCCCACCACACAAAGGAATGCAAGATGGCTCAGTGCATAAAGGAACGTGCTGCCAAGGCTAATGGCCTGAGTCCGATTCCAGGGACTCAACAAAATGGAGGAGAAAAGGGATGAATGCAATTTGCCTCTGACCTCCATGCTATGTTATTGCATGTGCAAAGACACACACACACAGTAAATGAATAATGTAAGATATTTTCAAGAAGGGGGCAAAATAAGAAATAAACCAGGTCTAGTGACACATGTCTGTGATCCCAGCAACTCAGGAGACTCAGGTAGAAGGACTGAAAATTCAAGGCCTGAGCCTTGGCTTAGTAAGGGGGTGGTGTAGTATCTGGACATAGGTCAACTTGACACAAGCTAAAGTTATCTGAATGGAGGGAACCTTAATTGAGAAAATGCCTCCATAAGATCTGGCTGTAAGGCATTTTCTTTATTAACTATTGATAGGGGAGGGCCCAGGGAGGGGCCAGACCATTGTAGGGGGTGCTACTGGTGGCCCGGAATCCTATAAAAAAGCCGACTAAGCAAAGCCAGTAAGTGCACTCCTCCATGGCATCTGTGGCAGCTCCTGACTTCAGGTTCCTATCCTGCTTGAGTTCCTGTCCTGATTTCCTTGGATAACGAACAACGATATGGTAGTGTAAGACAAACCCTCCTCCGCAACTTGCTTTTTGGTGTTTCGTTTCAACCACAGAAACCATAACTAAGACACGTGGGATGCGGGAGGTAAAAGATAGCTGGGGTAGAAAGTTTAGCTAGCATGTTCAGTCCCCTGTATAGATGGTAGATGGGCGGCAGGAAAGAAGGGAGGGAAAGGCAGGAAAAAAAAGAGAGAGAAACAAACTTAGAAAGTTCACTTAGGAAAGGGATTAAGTTTTGGGAAGGAGAAAGTGGGAAGAGAAACCGATAGAGAAAAACAGGTCACGAATTGTTAATTTCTGGTCAGAAAAAAAATAACCGGCCCTAGAGGTTTGTTCCCCCCCCCCCCAGAAGGTGATAGATTTTGACATTCACCTTACGAACCACAGCAAAGTATGAGCTTTGAGCCAAGCGGGTCCCTTAGGCTAAAGCTGGGGAGTTCCTAATTCACAGAGCGCGCAAATGTAAGGGTGCACCATGGAGCGTGATCCTCCCAGATTCCTAGAGCGGCCAAGCTAGGGTTGTCTGTGTAGTGACTCTAAACGGAAGTTGGAGGAATTGTGGGTGGTGGCGTTTGACCGGTAGTTTCTTCAGTGCCGGAGAGTCAGGGAGGCTTCTTGGGCATGGAGAGCAGCTGGGTTCTTGGCCTAGTGTTCTGTGGACAGCAAGTCCGTGCTCACTGGGCCTTTCATTCAACTGCATGGACGTCCGAAATGTTGGAGCCGGTGGAATAAGGAAGTGGATGAGCCCACACTAATCAGCCTGCAAAGCCGAAAAGATACCTGACTTGTGAGTGTTAGAATCGGAGGAAAGAGAATAACATGATCTTAATTTCTAAGGCAAATATTACCCCGACCTCGGATTATCGTGCCAGTTACGCCCCTACTTTAGTATTAATTCATTTCCTATCTTGGTTTGAACATCTCTTATAAGGAGAATTGTGTCACAGAGAGTTAATGTCCACCTAGGTGATCGGTAGCGAAACTGTCACCAGAAGGAAACGCACATGGAAGTTAAATATATTTTTCTCCTTTACTTTTTTTCATATATAGAAACTCTAGTCTCAGAAATGGCATCTCTCCTCAGTACAGTGGTTCTCATCTGAGCTGAGGGCTACCAAATTGCCTGCTGGCTTCAGACCATTATGTGGACAAGAGGATCCTACAGAAGAAATGGTACTTCTCCAGTCGCTTCCTGAGGTGTCCACTTGTGCCCTATGGAGATCCAATTCAGTTACGAATCTCAAGACCATCACTTTCTGTCAGGTGAGCCTCAGTGCATTTTAGGTTACTTGGGTGATACCAGTATTCTCGACTGTCTACACTTTCTCCGTTAAGCAACAGCATGTCTTTAGTGCTTCAAGCAAAGTCTTATGTTTTTGTTTTGACTTTTAGCGATCCAGTATTGTTACATCTTCTTTTATTCCTTGACAAATTCATACATGTAAACAATGTATTTTGCCTGCATTCAACCTCAACACCCCTTATGAGTTCCCCCAGATACCCTCCCCACTTCATGTCATCTTTTTCCTACAATGCCTGTAGGAATATTGACATACCTTATTGCCTTGCTCTTGTATACTTAACCGGGGCTTTGATGAGGACAGTGACAATGTCATGTCTAAAAGATAGCATTTCACAGCACTCCTTGAGTCTTCCAACATATTCAAGTCTTTCTGCCCTCTCTTCTGGGATATTCACGGATTCTAGGGAGTAGGAAGGTTATGATAGATGTCCTGCTTATGACTTAGTACTCAATGGTAACTTATTCTCAGTACATTAACTGCTGGCCACTGCAGAGAGATGTATCTCTGGCCAAGGTTGAGGACACCAGTAACCTATGTGTGTCAACATAAATATTTAGTATGTTCACTTAGCATGACAGCAGTAGTGGGCTCTCTATTAGGGCCTATGGTTTTTAAGTTGATTTGCAGTGCTAGGCATGAGTGATCGCCTGTGGAGCAGGTTCAAATCCAACCCAAAAGCAGTTGTTACCTCCTGTGGTGGTTTGAATGGGAATGGGCCCCTCTATCGGCTAATATGTCTGAATGCTTAGTCTTCTCAAAGTGCCACTACTTAAGAATCATTGGGAGGTGTGGTCTTGCTGGAGGAAGTATCCAACTGGGGATTGACTTCGAGGTTTCAAAGACGCAACCTGGCACTAAGATTTTCATTTTATAACCCATGTCTTCTGAGGGAAACATTGTCCCTCCATGCAAGGTACTTGTGTTCAGTATAGTGGAGTACTGTTGTGACAGACCTGACTGTGTTTTTGGGAGGACTGTAGAAAGGCTTTGGAATTTTGTACAATAAAAGCCAATACAAGATAAGAATCTTGAGGGCAATTCAGAAGATGTAGGCCTGGCTTGTGAAGTGTCAGAAGAAAGTTTAAAGACTCTTATCATGTCTTTGCTATTTTGAATTAAGATTCTGTCATTCTGACCAGTTGATGGTTAACAAATTGGCACCGTTGAAGTGAAACCTCTGCACTACTGGACAAGTGATGCTGGTTAGCTGGAACTAAGAAACTAGCTGTGATGAAGTAGAGACCAGCACCACTCAGCTGAGATCTTCTTGGAAGTGTTTCTTCAGGATCAGCACACAGAAACTGTGTTCCTGAAGTGGCCAAACGTGTAGCTTGTACTAGCAGGTGAACTTTAGTGTAAGACTCACCCAGGTAGTACTGGCTTTGAAAGCATGAAGGGGTCATGGAAAACAGCTGAGACTTGGCACTTGAATAGGCTTGAAGAGTATGTCAGTTGAAAGCTCAGGAGTGAAGGGATCATGAGGAGAAGTTGAGGCTTGATACCATGAAGAGAACCTTTGAGAGGCTCCTGGGGAAAGTATAGCCCAGTTGCAGCAGCCAGTACCATGGGATGACCACCACCACCAGCAGCACTAGTGGAGTGGAACCCACCAGGAAGCAGCATGCGCGCACGCACACACACACACACACACACACACAGGGGGTGGGGGGGAAGCACTCTTTACCTGAAGTGCCACCCCCTGGTAGACCTGTGTGCTATAAGAAAGCAGGCTGAAGGCTGAACAAGCCGAGAAGCAGCTCTCCTCCATGGGCTTGCATCGGCTTCAGGTTCCTGCCCTGTTTGAATTCCTGCATTAGCTTCCCTCAGTGGATTATGACTCTGAATCTGTAAGCTAAAAAATCCATTCCTCCTCAAGTTGCTTTTGGTCGTGGTATTTCATTACAGCAATAGTAACCTTAAGTAAGACAATTATTCCACCCTTGGTTCCTGTAATATATACATATGTGTGTATATATATATTGGCCATTAAAATAGATAGAGCATTTTTTGTCTCTTGGCTTAGGGCACACAGTGTATTGTATATGACAGCACCCCCCACTTAATCTTTACGTCATTTCTTTGTAATCCCAGTCTAGATTTTTCTGAATGACAGGACATACAGTAAGCTACCTGAGCTGTAAGACTTGGAGCTCACTGCTATACTTCCTTTTCTGTGAGATTTCTTTTTTGGAGGTAGTATAATGTAGGATAGCATAGTAACAAACAGAATTGCTATAAATTTGTATCTACATTATGAATTTAATTTTTAAAACAATTGTCTGCCATTTTCATGACAAAACTGACCCCATGCAATGACTCTGCCTCCAACACACAGTGACTGATCCCTCTCTAGGAAATGTTACCTTGGTGTGTAGTAGTGCTGACTTTGGTGGTTGACTATCTGACATATACAGTTGGTAATAGGCATTTTTACCTGGGAGAGGGGGGATCCATGTTTTTGAAGCTGTATATTACCTTTATCCTGCTACCATGACCATTCTGCACATCCTGCACATCAATCATGCTAGTGCTGGAATAGAAGCTGATTGACCTTGTGCTGTGGGTCTTCCTGTCTTCATTCTTGAGCGGCTTCTTCCCAACGGATGCTCTTTGCTGACAATTTATGAAGTACACAAATATATTTGCATACTTTGCCCACTCTGGGATGCTTATCCTTCTGTTTCTTCCAGAATCCTTGTTTCTTTCTAGTCTTCCAGTCTTGCTCTTTTCATAACTTCATAACTGAGTTGTCTCTAGCCGTGAGTCAATCTAGGCTTACATCCTAAACTATTCCCTTTCATGAGTAGTAGACAGGCCATTTTATTATCTGAAGTTCTGTCTGTGGAAGAATTTGATTTCAGCAGTATGTCTGAGGCCATCCCTGAGTAGGAATGCAGGTGAAAGCTTGCAGGCCTGTTTTGACAACCCGTTCTGAATCCACTTGTGTGTGGAATTTACTTACCAGGTGAACTTGATTTTTCAATGGAATGCTGGTTTGTGTGTCCAATTTTAGATTTAGTAGGCCAAAACCATTTAATATATAACAAGCAATTTAGTATCCTGCAATCAAGGAGTTCCCATCAGTGTCTAGTAAACAATGACCCAGGATTTGTTTTTCTCATAGAAAACTAATATTGGCAGAAGCATATATAGCAGTAACCTACTGAGTTCTCTTCCGGATCCTCCATGTAGTACCTCTAGCAATCACCTCTAATGCCACTAGTTGTCCTTGGGATGAGGTCAAATCTCACTCAAACGTAGCAACCCTGGCCAGGTATGGTAACATCCATCTGTAATCCCAGCACCGGCAAGCCTTAGGCAGGAGAACTGCCGTGAGTTCAGAGTCATCTTGGGCTACAAAGTGATTTCAAGGCCAGCCAAAGCTATACCACAGGACCATGTCTCAAACAAATATGGGGGTTTGGGGGAGTACAGCCAATCCCTGTTTTCTCAACACACAAGAGTTGAGGCAGGAGAGTTGCCATGAGTTCCAGGGCAACCTGGACTATAGAGCATCTCAAAGAACAACAAAAATAGCAAACCAACAATTATTTAGTCATTCTAGGGGACAGTTGGCTTAGAGCTGCACTTAGCACCCAGACTGCCAACTTGAGTTTGAGGCACAGGACCCACATGGTACAAGGGAAGAACCAGCTAACTTCCACCATTTATCCTCTGACTTTTTGACACTCGTCCTCCTGTGTGGATTCATCCCAGGCATCTCTTCCTTCTGTATACACATCAGTTCTGTTGGATTAGAACTGTATCTTGTGATCTTATTTGATCCCAGCAACCACATGGTGGCTCACAACCATCTGTAATGGGTTCTGATGCCCTCTTCTGGTGTGTCTGAAGACAGTGACAGTGTACTCACATACATAAAATAAATAAATAAGTCTTTAAAAAGATTTCAACATATGAATGATAGTAGAGAGGGGCACACTTCATGTCACACATGGAAAACCAAACACTGTTTTCTTTAAAATACCAACATTTGGTAAATATCTCAACAAAAGCTCAGAATAAACACAGAGTTCAGCATACACATTACTAGAATAGGGTAAACAAAACAGTTGGAAGGTCATAGGAACAGAAAACATGGTGGGAATTCTAAGAACATTTCTGGCAATTTTGCCTTTTTTGTTTTTTTAAAGATTTTGTTTATTTTATATATATGGCAAATACTCTGTAGCTGTCTTCAGACACGCCATAAGGGGGCCTTGGGTCCCATTACAGATGGTCGTGAGCCACCATTTGGTTGCTGGAAATCGAACTCAGGACCTTTGGAAGAGCAGTCAGTGCTCTTAACCACTGAGCCATCTCTCCAGCCCCAATTTTGCCTTTCGTAAACTAAAAAAGTTTAGGTTTTTTTTTTTTTTTCATTGTTAATTTTTTGGTTTTTGCTTCTTTGGTTGGTTGGTTGGCTGGCTGGTTACTTCAGTTTTCTTGGTATTTTGAGACAAGATTTCTCTGTGTAGCCCTGGCTGTCCTGGAACTCGATTTGTAGATCGACTGTAGGTGTGTTGCAGCTAGCTGCTTAAAGCCCCTGCCACTGTAACTTCCCCCACAATGATGGGCTATAGTCTGGAATTTTAAGATAAACTAAACCCTTTCTTTTCCTGAGTAGCTTGTTGCCGAGATATTTTAGCAACTGAAATTAAATTAGAACAATATTCAAAGATAGCTGTCCAAATTGCCAGTCATTTGACTGGAGGTCCTTTGGCACAACCCAGAAAAACTCATGGGTAGATAAGGAGAAGCTCGTCAAGTGCTGGTCTCTGGCTGCCATTATCTCCCTCAGCGAGGGGCAACAGTGAGCAGTAGGCAGCAAACAAGCAGAATAGGCAGAAATGACATCAACTTCTATTACAGTCTTTGTGAGCGGCTTGGGTATTGGGACCTTTAAGTGCACTGAACCAGCGGTTCTTCCTGGGTTTACACAGGGACTCTGAAGGGCAAGGGATGAGAAAGGAAGAGTTAAAACCTGTGGTAAAGAGGGATACCATGGCTGATGACCCAAACCAGCACGAATAGCCGTATCTTATAGTTCCTTTTTTGGTAGAATAGGGAAGCAAAAAAGCGAGTCCATAAAGTTCATCCGACAGCAGAACCGCTGGGAGCTCAAAGGACCTCCAGTTCCTCTTTTGCAAGGTGCATGCTGGTACAGTCAGCGAAGCATCTCACATCTCAGTATCTGGATCATTTGACCATGGCTTTACTGTGAAACTGTCAAGAGCCCTATGGCCAGTCCATTGCTTGTCTTGCCAAGCAGGACCCTGGCAAGGAACAAGGTCCAGCACTCCATGTTCCATCCACAGGGTTTCAAAGAGCCTTTGATTGTATGTTGTCCCCAACATGTGTCTCTCAAACTCTTCCACCAGCTAAAGCCTGCAGTTTCCCTGCTCCTGCTCCTTACAGCTGTTCATTCTTCTGGCTCAACTGTGTCTCTGCCTCCACTGCCCTGCTTCTTGCCCTGACCACATTTGTTTAGTAGCTGTTTCAGAAAGCAGGCATCCTGGCCTGTTAGTAACTTGACTTGCCATCAGCAGCCAAGACCACTGCCATGTCTCCACTGTCTCAGTGTCTCTGTTGCTGTTTTGTAATACTAGTTCAGCCCACACTACTAAAGGTAGGCAGGAAAAGATACTTGAGTGCAGCCTTGTATCGTGCCTAATGTTACAATGTCACTGGGGGCAACAGAAAAAGCCTCTCTGAGTGGCTTGTTTAATCTAAGAAGAGGTGTTTAAGCCATCACAATTTTTTATTTGGACCAGCTGAAGCTAATTGTTTAGACCAGTCACTGCCTTTCCTCTCAGCAGCAAAGGCAGGCATTGGGTCAGGCTCTTTTGAACACTAGTCATGGCAGTATCTCCTAGATACTGTCATTGCCAGTGCACCCTCCTCCTGGCCTAGACGAAAATGGACGAAGAGTCATAGAGACAATATATTGAGGCTTGTGATAAAACCTCTGGTCAAAACTGCTTCAGACAGCCCTGGCGAGCCTGGGCAAACAGCTGTGATCTTCCTGTTGTTTTCTCAAGGTCTCTGTGGGGTCTTATAGATTGTGGTTGATTATGGCCTAAGGGTCATCTAGCTGGCTGTTTGATAGGCTTTTTTTGTTTTTTGGTTTTTTGGGTTTTTTGAGACAGGGTTTCTCTGTGTAGCCCTGGCTGTCCTGGAACTTACTTTGTAGACCAGGCTGGCCTCGAAATCAGAAATCCGCCTGCCTCTGCCTCCCAAGTGTTGGGATTAAAGTCGTGCGCCACCACCGCCCGGCCTGGCTTTTGTTTTTTAATTTCTACTTTTTAAATTCAAGTTAGCCAGGGCAGTAAGGTGGATGGGTGCCAGCATCTTGTCTTGTTCACAGGAAAATAAATTTAAAGAACTACTAGTGACACTAATAGTGATTTCTAGCTCATTTTATTAGTACTTAGCACATTCCCGTTGCCTGGAGATAGCTAAGTTGAAGGATCCATGCTGAGGAAGCAGGTACTGAACTCTCAAATGGTGACTCAGTTGTGTTGGAGTTGCCATTAACTGTTCTGTAGGAGAACGTTCTCACCAACTGAATGGTTAGTTAGACTTCACAAAGTCCCACTTAACAGGTGCATTTTTAGCACCAAGCCAGGCAGGAATTACCTTTTCAAATCTAATAGCAAAAAATGATCTTGACCCTTGATCCTCCTGCCTCCTCTCCTTAAGTGAGCGGTAGGATCACAGGAAAGGGCCATGAAAACCTCAGTCAGGTTGGGAGTTTAGTTAGTAAGCTGTAATAGTGTTCATACTGCTGCATACATAGAGATAGGGGAGTTCCATGTGCTGGCATAGAGAGGACCTGTGTGCTCCTGTGTGGCCGTCTGGGAACTTAGTATCTGCTAGTGCTGCACTCATTTAGTGTTGCCCACAATTTCTTGTTGTTGTTTCGTATTTGCTGGTTAAATATATTCTTTGACAGTTTCATACATGTACATAGTACCTTGTTATTCTCCTCGGACTCCTTGTCTTTATACACCCCCTGTTAGGCCCTTCCTCCCTATAAGTCCTCTCCCACATTCATCCTGTTAGGCCCCTTCCTCCCTATAAGTCCTCTCCCACATTCATCCTGTTAGGCCCCTTCCTCCCTATAAGTCCTCTCCCATACTCACCCTGTTAGGCCCCTTCCTCCCTATAAGTCCTCTCCCACATTCACCCTGTTAGGCCCCTTCCTCCCTATAAGTCCTCTCCCACATTCATCCTGTTAGGCCCCTTCCTCCCTATAAGTCCTCTCCCACACTCACCCTGTTAGGCCCCTTCCTCCCTATAAGTCCTCTCCCACATTCACCCTGTTAGGCCCCTTCCTCCCTATAAGTCCTCTCCGACATTCATCCTGTTGGGCTTGTTTTATGACTTCAGCCAGAGTCTGTGTGTCAACAGGTTTGGAATTACCCATTGGATCCTGATGTGCACACTGTTAGGTACAATCTGAAGGCAATGAGTGTCCCCAGACTCCATCAGTCACCAATAGTTCAGCAGGTACAGTAGGCTCTGTTGAGCTTCTCCCTGATCTATAGCTAGGTTTTAACAGACTCTAACCTGTGCAAACCCAGTACAGGTGGCCACAGCTCCCATGAGATCTTGTCTGCAATGGCTATGTCATACCTAAAGATAGTATTTTATGCCAGGCAGTGGTGACACATACCTTTAATCTCAGTACTTGGGAAGCAGAGGCAGGTCAGGTGATCTCTGAGTTCGAGGCCAGCCTGGTCTAGAGTTCCAGGGCAGTCAGGACTACACAGAGAAACCCTGTCTCAAAACAAACAAACAAACAAACAAACAAACAAACAAAAAGTATTTCCCACCTCTTGTCCCTGTCTTCCAGTTCCTGCAGTCTTTCCACTCTTTCTCCTACCGTGTCCCCAAGCTTTAAAGGGAGTGGCACAGCTATCCTGATTAAGACTAAGACTAAGCATCCAGAACAGCTATCAGTCTGTGTTCTCTGCAAAGAGAACTCTCTGATTACGGGTGAGAGTAGTAGCAAGAACGTAGGCTGAAGATAAGCTGGAAGCTTCCTCACCGCTGCCTAGCTTTCACAGTGCTACCTGAAGACACTGTGTAAGCTACGTGAGAAACAGGGCCTCAAGACTCTTACTTTGCTATGAACCCCACAAACTACATTGCTAATTTGCCAAGCAGGATAGGGCCACCCGTACAATAGCAGCACAGCTGTTCTGAAGGTAAACAACCACTGTTGGGTTACACTGAGGCCTGCTTGACAGAAGAGAATACATGCCTGATACTATCAAACCCAGTCAAAACCCATTCCCCACAGCTGGGGAATAGACCTAGTGAGTACTTTACTACTGTGGTTCAACTAAGTTGACATGGCACTAGACTTGGTCTAAGTATTTATGTTTATGCCCTTAATTTTTTAAGTCTGTCTTTGGAGGCTGGAGAGATGGCTCAGTGATTAAGAGTACTTGCTGTTCTTTTAGAGGACTCAAGTTCACCAACGAGCAGCCATGTGGAACAGTTCACAACTTCCAGATCTGACACCTTCCTCTGGATTCTCAGGACAGTATACACACATGGCATAATAAACACACACAAATACAAATAATTTTTTTAGTGTACCGACACCCATGTAAAAACCTGAAACCAGTCTTTGTGTCAACACTGATTTCTTGTTATTCACATTAATGCATGCAGTTTGAGAAAGTAGAAACAACTTGACCGTCTTACTACTCTGACCCCCTTGTTTGTGATACCAAGTTTAGTTCCATCTGGAGAAGAGAATAAGTAGTATCAGAGTTCTCTTGCACTAGATAGATATTGTTACCTGGAAATTCAGTTTTAAACTGATTGCTGTACTGGAAATGCTCTGACTTTTTGTATAAGTTGTTTAGAACACAGTGTGTGTACTATGGTATAACAACAATTTTACACTGTTTCCTAAAGGCAGATGCAAAGGAATGGAAAGGTTTTTATTTCCCTTTCATTATTTTCTTTAGCACCTAACTTTTAGCCTAAATATGAGCATTGCTAGATAAAATCAAACCATTTCCCTTTCCTACGTTGTGTCTGTTCAAGTATATTAATAAGTTATCCGCTTTAGTCACACTTGCATTATCATAGAGAATCAATCTCATTATTCCCAGGCCTCCTGTGAAAATCATACCTTTGTTTCTGATAAGTGTCTTCTACACATGTGTGACCCATATTTGTTGAATCTTCCCAGTTTTCCTCACAGTATTTTTCAATGTTGGGAAGCCTCCCATTTCATTTGAGTCTACCACCTGTCATTTGAGTCTGTCAGCCATGTGGGGCCACCTGCTACCACAGCCTCCCTCTTACTGTGGCATCTGCAGGTAAATACTGATGTGCTTCACCTGGAACTTTCTTACAACATGAAGCACATTTTCCATTTAGATTTTGTTTACTGTTCCAGATGGTGAGACTAAGATCAACATTGGAGAGCCAGCTACAGAGGAGGAGATGACAGGGAAGATTGAAACATTGACTGAAGAGTCGGGCAGCCTCACGGAGGATGTTCTCCACGATTCTAAAGGCCAAGAATTCTGTGAATTTGGAGATGAATTGAATGATCAGATGTTCTTCAAAGAAAGACAGTATAACTGTGATGAATGTGACCAAAGCTTTGCTTGGAGTACAGGTCTTATTAGGCACCAAAGAACTCATTGGAAGCCTTATGAATGTGAGGAATGTGGAAAGGCCTTTCGGATGAGCTCAGCCCTGGTTCTGCATCAGAGAATTCATACTGGAGAGAAGCCCTATCCTTGTGGGTGGTGTATTAAAAGCTTTAGTCGGAGCTCAGACCTTATTAAACATCAAAGAGTTCACACAGGTGAAAAACCTTACAAGTGTGATGAGTGTGGGAAGGCCTTCAGTCAGAGCTCAGATCTTATGATACACCAGAGAATCCACACAGGAGAAAAACCCTACCAATGTAGTCATTGTAGTAAAAGCTTTAGCCAGCACTCAGGCATGGTTAAACATCTGAGAATCCACACTGGAGAGAAGCCTTATATGTGTAACCATTGTTACAAACATTTCAGTCAGAGCTCTGATCTTATAAAACATCAAAGAGTCCACACTGGAGAGAAACCATACAAGTGTGATGTGTGTGGGAAGGCCTTTAGTCAGAGCTCTGATCGTATTCTCCATCAGAGAATCCACACTGGGGAGAAGCCATATCCATGTAGTCAGTGCAACAAAAGTTTTAGTCAGAATTCAGACCTTATTAAACACAGACGGATTCACACTGGAGAGAAGCCGTATAAATGTAGTGAATGTGGGAAGGCTTTTAACCAGAGCTCAGTCCTTATTCTGCATCAAAGAATTCATACTGGAGAGAAACCATATCCATGTAATCAGTGTGCCAAAAGCTTCAGTAGGCTTTCAGATCTTATTAATCATCAACGAATTCACACTGGAGAGAAGCCTTACCCGTGTAGTCAGTGCAGTAAAATGTTTAGTAGAAGGTCAGATCTTGTTAAACATTACAGAATCCACACTGGGGAGAAGCCCTATGAGTGTGATAAATGTGGCAAAACTTTTAGTCAGAGTTCCAACCTTATTCTCCACCAGAGAATCCATACTGGAGAAAAACCATACCCTTGCAACAGCTGTTCTAAAAGTTTTAGTCGCGGTTCAGATCTCATAAAGCATCAGAGAGTACACACTGGAGAAAAACCATATACGTGTAATCTGTGCAATAAGAGTTTTAGTCAAAGTTCAGACCTCACTAAACATCAGAGAGTGCATTCTGGAGAGAAGCCCTACCACTGTAGTAGTTGTAACAAAGCCTTTCGTCAGAGTTCTGACCTTATTCTCCACCATAGGGTTCACACAGGAGAAAGACCATATGCGTGTACACAGTGCACCAGAAGTTTCAGTCAAAAGTCAGACCTTATTAAACATCAGAGAATCCACACTGGAGAGAAGCCATATAAATGTGTGTGTGGGAAGGCTTTCAGTCAGTGTTCAGCCTTTACCCTTCATCAGAGAATCCACACTGGAGAGAAACCATATCCATGTGCTCAGTGTGGCAAAAGCTTCAGTCAGCGCTCTGATCTTGTTAACCATCAAAGAATCCACACTGGTCAAAAACTGCAAATGTGATACCTCTGTGAAACCTTCAGCACCGTGACCAATCTTACTGGATATCAGGATCTGCTGGGAGCTGTCTGCAGCTTCTCTGAAACAGGGGGAAAAAAGAGAAAAGTCTGCCTTCCAGGCAGAGTCAAAGCAGGTCAGAGTCTGTTGGCAGATTTCCCAGGCTGCTGAGGCATGGAACGATAAGAGGAGGTGTGTTTGAGACTCAAGGCTAGGAGCTGAAGGTTCTATTGACCTTGGTGGAAGGAACAGGGAGGTTATTGGATGGGAACAGATGTCTTATGTGTATATTTCAGCAAATTGTTAATGTTGGCTTGTGGCTTTGCTTCCCATGGTACTGTAGTATAAAAAAGGCTATGAGAAATACACTCACTGCTGGTGTGGTAATGATCTGCAGCCCTCCCATACCTGTCTCTTGCATCTTTTTTCTGTCTTTCCTATAGTCATCCTCACTTCCCCCTCAGAGGCTGTTCAACTTCATGGCAGCCAGACTAGTACAAGGATCCATGTAGAAGAGAAGCTTCTGACCTCATGTTTAGGGAAACTGATGTTTTAACAAATCTGACCTTGGTGATTTTAAGTAAATCCATTCTAGGCAGGCACATGCCTTTAATCTCAGCACTTGGGAGGCAGAAGCAAGTGGATTTCTTATGTTCGAGGCCATCCAGGGCTACACAGAAAAATCTGCATTGGAGAAAAAAAAATAGAACAAATTTGGGGTGGGGGGGCAGAAGACGAGACTCATTCTGAGAAGACTGCATAAATGTGGGAAAACCTGTAGTGTACAAATTTGGAGACCACACTATAACAGAATCTTACCAAGCTATAATGACCATGAACTGGGTTTTAATCAATGTTCAACCCATGCTCCACTTAAAAAATACTGGAAGATGAATTTTATAACAGTTTACAGAGCTGAGAATTACTGGTGTTAAGGAAATCCTAAGGTGCTCTGGGAGTTGTATAAACATCTTCACTGTTTTTTTGTTTGTTTGTTTTTTAATGAATCAATAGGCAAAAATCTTTACCATGATCTAAGAAAATCTCTTATTGGGACACAGTTCATGGAGACTTATGTTATAACCAATGTATAAAATTAATGCAGAATTAACCAATTTTAAATATCAACATGGAAGATCTCAGTCTAAAGTCAGAGGGAAATATATTCATCTTAGAAGCTCTACCTTTACTGAGTCTAAATTACCAACTGCATATCAGAAATTATTTTAGAGGATGTAGAGAAACCTTAAATCTTGTAATTAAAATGGTATTAATATTGACATCACACATGTGCCCTATGCTCATGCTGAGTATCTATAAAGTCCCTGTGTAACTCTGAGCCACTTTGTCTCTGGGATTGGAGTGTAGAGATGGGTTTTCCTAGTGAGCATGAGTCAATGGTACACACAGCAATATTAGTTCAACTTTGTTTCCTGCATTAACAGTAATGCAGGCCAAAGTTTTATTGGTCTGAAATCACTTCATGTTCTCTGAACACATGAAAAAATTTTTTAAAGAAATGTATGTAAAAACTGAATATTGTTCTTATCTATTGAACAAAACTGGAACTGTGGTATTGCAGTACTGTCAATTCAGTAGTTCCTCGGTATCCAGGAGGGATGTCCCAAGGCATAGAACTTTATCAGTCAGCTGATATAGTCTTGCTAAATTCAGGTAGACTACGACTAGACACAGTGCATTACCCTAGCTGATAACAGTTCCCAGTTCCTAACATTTAACAGCTCCAAACAATGCCATTGACTTGAGTCCTAGTGTTTCCAGGACCACCAGCTATGAGCAGTTCTTGTCATTTTTTCAACAAATGGAGCTAGCTGGTCCAATCACTGCTTATTAGCCACTCTCAGTGATAACAGCTCTAGGAAAACCAGTCAGCCTGCTTTATCCAAAAAATCATAAACATACAAAACCATCCATAGGGGATGTCATTGATACTTACCCTGAAACGATGCATAAGCTGACCAGATAAGGATGAAAGGAGGGGCAGGTTATATAGGCAAAAGGCTAGACTTACGTCTATTCACGTTGTCCTGTTGGTGAACTGCAGTTGTAGGTTGTGAGCAGGGGAGGAACCCTTCATGGATGTGAATGGAAACAACTGAAGCAGCTAAAGGACGGCAGCATCAGCTACTCCAAGCCTGTACAGCCAAAGCAAAGTCTCAACTGTGACTGTTTGCATTTTGGCTGATTTTGCCCTGCTGTATCACTTGGTCAGCATTACATCCTAACACCATTTCCTTGCTTAAGTACTTACCGTGCACGGTGTCCATGACTTGCATTTTGAGATGCCAGAATAATACATTTTTCCCTTTACAATTTCACAAAAGATTCCTTCTTATTGTAGACCTTAACATCCTCAGAGATTTTTGTTTACTTGGGTCCAAGGAAAGCCTTCCACTTTTTCACTTACAGATGATAGTAGTCTTCTCTTCTACATATCTTAATTGCCAGCATCATTACTCTTCATCTTGGGGCCATTGTTGAGTTCAGTTAGAGTTATTTGTACATAAGCAATGCGAGTATGCAGGCTAAATCTGATGACCCATATAGCTACCAAGTGACTAATGGGGAAGGTGATACATGCAAAATGGACACCCTGGACAAGGCAATGATTCACATGCTAGAGGATATGCAGAAGGGTTCAAGGTTTTATACTGTTCATACACTGAATTATTTCCTAATTTCCCATTTCTATTTTAAGGGCAAGTGAACCAAACTATGCAGGCAACTATATTTGACCATCATCTGACATGTCATTTCTAAAGTCCTTAGACTTCTCTAAGTGACAAGAACAGTCAGGGGCTGAAAAGATGGTTAAGAGATGTTTAAGAACACTAGCTCCTTTTCCAGAGACTTGAATTCAAATCCCAATACCCACACGGCAGCTCACAGCTATCTGTAACTCCAGTTCCAGGGGACCGAATTGCTGCTTCTGACCTCTGAAGTCACCAGGCATTCATGGTGAACATACAGACAAAATAACATATACAGAACTTGATTAAACAATTGTCTTTATACTGTATTTTTACATTTTAGTTTTTTGGTTTTTTTTTACATTTTATTTTAGTCAGTATTCTGCTAGCAGCCTTCAGATGAAGATGTAGAACTCTCAGCTCCTCCTGCACCATGCCTGCCTGGATGCTGCCATGCTCCCACCTTGATGATAATAAACTAAACCTCTGAACCTATAAGCCAGGCCCAATTAAATGCTCTTATAAGGGTTGCTTTGGTCATGGTGTTTGTTCATAGCAGTAAAACCCTAACTAAGACAACCTCCGAGAAAGAAGAATTGGAGATAAAGTTCAATTACCAATAGTCAATGATTTGTTAATATATCTGTAAGGAATCTCTGCAGAAAGAATAAAGAACAGGATTCAGTGCATCCATGTTAAAAGATAGCACTCCTGAACATGAAAAATCTATTCCTTCTGAAACACCTTGTCATATTTATCTCTTCTGACATCTTGGGTTGTATTCTTTAAAATAACCACTAGCCTAGTAAGTAACTATCTCCTACATTCAGTGGCATCCTTGTAGCAAATGATCAAACCCATGGATGGCTTTGTAGAAACTTCTGGCTCATATGTAGCCCAAAGAACCAGTGAAAAAAACAAATATGCAATCATTGGCTGAAGTTGGAGGGGACAGTCTTGGGGACTGAGGGCTCTGTGTCCTCTGACCTCCATGTGCCCCGTGGCACATGTGCATACATACACACACACGTACACACACAAAAAAATACATAAATTTCTTTTTAGACATTTAAAGTTGCTGACAGATCTGTTTTATAGATCAGTTGGCATTATTTCCTTTCAGCTCTTAACATTATTCCTTATTTATTCATTCATTTATTTATTTATTTTTGACAACTTATGTCAGGAGAGGTCCTTCTCTGTTCATATCTTTTTGGAATTTTTTTTTTTTTGGTTTTTTGAGACAGAGTTTCTCTGTGTAGCCCTGGCTGTCCTGGAACTCACTCTGTAGACCAGGCTGGCCTCGAACTCAGAGATCGGCCTGCCTCTGCCTCCCAAGTGCTGGGATTAAAGGCGCCCGGCTCTTTTTGGAATTTTAAACACATTGCATTTAGTTGTCTGCTTTTCTAGGAAATCCAATTCATTGCATAGATGCTGTATTTCTTGGGTTTTATTCTTGTTTCCTCTTTTACCCTGTGTATTCTTAGGTTTGGTTTTGTGATCATTTCCTAGAATCTCAGAAGTTTTGGTCATGCTTTCCTGATTTGATTTGGTTAGTTGGTTTGGTTTTCCTTATTGATGTTTGAATGTAGTATTTTCTTGATGTTATCCTCCATCTCCAACATTTTTTCTTCAGTGTGGTCAAATATTTTGATTTCCACCAAATTTCTAATTTAGTTCATTGAATTTTTCTTTTCCAGATACTCTGCTTTTTCCCCCAATTTCAACTCCCATGCTTATCTCTTCTTCCCACTTGCTTTCTCATCCACAGTACTGAAAACACCCACTTTGCTGACTCTTTTCCTAGGACCTGAATGAATTCATCTCCTTTTTGTATCCTCTTTGAGGTCCCTGATCAGTTTTACTGGTGTATTAATTGCTTTTTTCATTGCTGTGACAAAATGCCAAACAAAAGCAACTTAAGGAAGGAAAGGTTTGCTTGGACTCATTTTGAGGGTGCAGTCCATCTTGGCAGGGAAGTCACAGCACCAGGAGTGTGAGGATTATATCATATATATACTCAGGAAACAGAGACTGACAGACACTAGTGTACAATCACTTTCTGTCCCATGTGAGTGTTGTGAGCATAGGTATCTTTACACAGATCTTTTGTGTAAAGATGCAAAGAACAGAAATCATTGAGTTTCTTCCTCAATGGCTCTATACCTTATTTTTGAGACAAGGTCTCTCACTAAGTCTGGAGTTTATGAATGGGCTAGATAGGCTGGCCAACGAGGACATCTCCTTCCCACCAATACTGAGGTTAAAGATGTGTGTCACCATATTCAACTTTGATGTTGGTTCTGGGGATCTGAATTTGAGTCCTTATGTTTACACAACACTTTTTGGCCCACTGAACTACCTTCCCAGGTCCTCACTTTCTCCTTTTCAGTTTTGAATCACAACCTATGTGATGGTGCAACTTACATACAGGATGGCTGTTTCCTCCTGAGTTAAAACTCAGTGATGTCCAGACAAATCTAATTGTATTTCCTGGGTAGTTCTAAATCTCATCAAGTTGACATTATAGATTAACCATCATGAATTCACTCTTGGTCAAACTGACATCCATACACATCATTTTTTTAAAAGTTTAATTTATTTATTTCATGTATGTGAGTACACTGTCGCTGTCTTGAGACACACCAGAAGAGGGCATTGGATCCCATTACAGATGGTTGTGAGCCACCATGT